ACAGTTTTTTTCACAATATTTTGAAGTAATCACTTGTCATCTTGTCAATCAAATTTTAAATATTTCCTGCTATGCGTTCCAGTTGTACCAACTTATTTCTTTGTAAAATAAAATAAACTACTTTGAAATTAAAATGACAGACACATCTATCACTGTCAAGGATCTTCTCGTTGGACAGACTATATGTACAAAATGTACAAGTGGTAAATATTGCAAACCCATTGGTACACAAAAAAAACTATTTAAGTATTTGTAAAAGAGTATACCAATTAAATATACCACCATTATTTCCGACCAAAAATTAGTTAATTACATACTTTTAAATTGTTTTAATTAATATAAATGTAGATTTGGCTCAGAAATCAATATAGTAATAAGTTATGAAAATGAAGTATCTGTTTTTATAAATAAGCATTCGTCAAAAAATTAAATAAAATTTATAAGGTGTTACTTTTTACCACACTGTCTAATACACACACAAAATTCAGTTTTTCAGTTTTGGAGCAATCATTATTAATTAACGTAAACAGTCAATTAATGTAGTTTGAATACTGGGATCATATTAATTGGTCCTCTAACAAAAAAAATTAAATAATATTTAAACAGTTTTTTATTCTATTTTTTAATGAAGTAAGCGAACTATATCGACAATATTAGTATTTGTACTCTTTGAAAATTTGTTACATCTCTAAAAATAATCTAAAATGTCAATATTCCATGGGTATAGTGATAAATGAGGTTTAAATTATAAGAACATGTATTTTCTACGAAAATTTGAAGATATGGGTAAAAATAGTATAAGATAATTTGATTGACAGTTAAATTGTACATATGATTCACGTAAAATATACAGGGCGTTCCATTTAAATTAAAAAAGTTATTGCTGTTTAAAGCTAGTAATTATTTAATATAAATTTTTGGACACTCTGTATAAGGTAGTAGAATTTTTATTATTGCAACACAATATCTGATCAATAAATAATCTTCAGTAAATATTTAGTATTGGAATCTTTGATACCTTTGGAGAAATGAAGCCTTAAAATGTTTACTACAATTTCATAAAATTGAAAATATTTCAAAAACGGTAAGGTTTAGTTGTGATAAACCTTAATCAAATTTACCTTTATTTTAATCATAGAATCTAAAAATAGAATAATATACAGGGTGTTCCATTTGAAAAAATACAACTATAATATTTTTTACTTATTTGGAACACCCTGTATCTCGTAAAAATATTTTTAAATTGTAGCTCTAATAGTCCTTCAACGAACCCAAAACTTACAATTTGTAAAAATCTAATCGTTTAGCTACAATACTCCGTGTCGTATGTGGTTGGTGAACAAGCCTGTATAAATACTCTTTTAAATTCAAGAAAAATATAAATATACAGGGTGTCCCAGAAATAAGTGCAAGTATTTTAACTGGTAGTATAGTTCGACCCCAGAAACACGTCTATGAGGTTTTTTTCGCGAAAAAAAATTTGAAAATTCGAAATTTTTTAAAAAAAAATTGGAATTTTTTTTAGTTTTTAGTTAGAAAACATAATTTCTTGATAATATGGCAATATAAGTATTAGATTAAATTTACAAGAAAGAAAATCCAGAAAACATCCAGTGGTTCTCAAAATTTTGTAAAATAACTCCGTTATTTTGGACTTATTTGAAAAACGATAGAGAGAAAATATGTTTTTTTATCGAGATACACCCCTTAAAATACTTACACTTATTTCTGGCACACCTTGTATATTATATGGCATAAAATTAATAATAAATTATTGTACAATTTTATTGTTTAATAAAAATGTGGCTATTAAACAAATAAGAATCGGGACATTAAGGCTTTGCGTAGGGACGCGGTAGTTTTGAATAAAAATGGGACTGTCCCCACAAAAACGGAACGGGTGGCAACCCTGCTTGTAAAAGACATATTAATTAACAGAAAGACACTAAAAGACTTTTTGGTGTGTCTTCCCATTTTCCTTAGAATTTACAATTCAGTAATTCATTATTCTTACCAATGGTAATTTTCCATTTTTCTGTATCTCCATTAATTAGATCTGTAGACTGAAGCACACCAGCGTTGTTGACAAGAATATGGATATTTCCCAATTTCTTAATGACTTCTTGAATTGTTGATTTGATTTCAGCTTCTTTTCTCATATCGCATTTGAATCCGTGTAATTGGCCTTTTTCCTTACTCAGTGCTTGAGCAATTTCTGGCAAACGCTCTGGTCTGATATCCAAACCAGCTACCTTCAAAGAAAAGTCATAATTTTAGTTAACTAGTAACATAAAATAATAAAATTTTGACTTATTGAATCAGTTTTTTGTTGACCTTGCAGCCGAACATTGTTCTTTCTAGAACCTAGTTTTTAGTGCGAGGTGTACAAGATAGCTTAATAGCCGTAAAAACTCATCGCAACTTTATGAGAATATTTTGAACGGGAAAGCGGTAGAAATGGCCCTTTATATCCTTTAAGTGCTGTTAAGAAGGGGAGTTTCGTTCAGGTAAATAATTACTGTTTATATATTTATAATTAATTTAGTTCTGTTTTCTAAAATATTTTGAATAAAAGAAAATATGTAATCACGTGACTAAAAGTTTATATTTTAAATAAGCTACCCGGTATGTTATTAGATATTTGGAAAGTATTTTTATATCTGAAAATGCTTCTTTTATTATCTAAAGGCCGATTCTGACGACTCATGTACTTGGCAAGCCAATATTTGCGTACTTGCTTTGTGTACTACGTTATAATAGCACAATATGGCAAGTATATACCAATAACAAATGTTTGTACGAGTATTACAGTTGAGGGTTGGAACCTTTGGTGTTACACAGCAAAATAAAAACACTAAATCACCACAATACACCAAAACATTTTACTTTTACACTGGAGGCGCGTTTCGCTAACCATGTTAGCATCATCAGCAGATGATTATAAACTAAAGTACAATCTACAAGTTGTGACCTTTCCAGTGAAGGTGTTTTATCTTTTCGATTACCTAATAATTGTTGTAATTTATTATTAGCACTATACACAAGTTTATAATTGACATTCTTAAAAATTCCTTTTAGACCACGGGATAACTCTCTATCAAACGGTATCGAAAAATATTTAGACGTATCTTTCTCCACTTGAAAAGTCGAATTTTCAGAAAGCATTAACCTATACCTACGTTTTCTAATTAATTTATCAACTAGTGAAGGTGAATATCCATTACACTCAGACACATTCCTAATGTAATCTCTTTCTGTTTAATATCTTTCGTTGGAAAGTGGGAAACTAAGTAATCTATGAACTAAGAAATTTAAACTAGGCATTTTATGTTCAACACTATGATGTGATTCATTAGGAATATATTTCTCAGTTAAAAATAATATTGAATTCATTAACAAAATTAAAGATATAACATTGCATGAAGGTGAAATTTTGGTCTCCTTTGATGTATCTTCGTTGTTCCCAAGTGTTCCAATTCCACATACTTTAGGCTACTTAAAGGAATTACTAAACGCAAATGGTCTCGACAAAAAACTGTGAGTGAATATATTGAGCTACATCGTTATGTATGAAACAAAATTGTTTTCAATTTAATAACAACTTTTTTGAACAGCGGGAAGGTACAGCAATGGGTAATCCATTGTCTCCATTTTTGGCTAATTTATTCATGAGCAGGTTTGAAGTGGAGACTAAGAATCAGTTTGAGTATTTTCCAAGAGTATGATTTAGGTATGTGGATGATATTTTTGCTGTTTTTGACAGATATTCAGACACCATAGATAATTTTATTTCTAAGTTAAATAATCGTTTTCCTTCCATTAAATTTACGCATAAAATTGAGAACAACGACAGATTACCATTTCTAGATGTATTAGTTATTAGAAATACTAATAATTGCCTGGAATTTGATATCTATAGGAAAAATACCACCACACGCAGATATATTCCTAATGAATCAACGTGTTGAACATAAAATGGCTAGTTTAAATTTCTTAGTTCATAGATTACTTAGTTTCCCACTTTCCAACGAAAGATATGAAACAGAAAGAGATTACATTAGGAATGTAGCTGAGTGTAATGGATATTCTCCTTCACTAGTTGATAAATTAATTAGAAAATTGTAGGTATAGGTTAATGCTTTCTGAAAATTCGACTTTTCAAGTGGAGAAAGATACGTCTAAATATTTTTCGATACCGTTTGATAGAGAGTTATCCCGTGGTTTAAAAGGAATTTTTAAGAATGTCAATTATAAACTTGTGTATAGTGCTAATAACAAATTACAACAATTATTAGGTAATCCAAAAAATAAAACACCTCCACTGGAAAGGTCGGGCATTTATGAAATTTCTTGTAAAGATTGTAATCAGAAATATGTTGGGCAAATTAGAAGATCAATATTAACTAGATTTAAAGAACATTTAGCTCAGATAAGATATGGTAGACCGGATAAATCTTGCGTTGCCGAACATATTGTTGATAAAGAACATTGTATAGATCTTAATAATTTAAAATTAATTAAACGAGTGTGAAATTACAGGCAATTAGATGCATATGAAAGCAGCAGAATTAATAAATGTAAAGATAGTATGAACAAAGACAACGGCCCAATTCCTTCAAGTTCTTTGTTCCTACTACTTTAGTGGCGGAAATCTAACTGTTACGCTCAGTGGGCTCTGACTCGGTTGGCTAGATTTTGCCACGCCCACTCGGTGCCCACTGGGCGAGTATATAAACGCTCAAGTTGTAGATTGTACTTTAGTTTATAATCATCTGCTGATGATGCTAACATGCTTAGCGAAACGCGCGTCCAGTGTAAAAGTAAGTGTTGTAGTGTATTGTGGTGATTTAGTGTTTTTATTTTACTATTCATCGTTACAATATTGAGATAAGCTGTCAAACTTAATAATGACGTGGGGTAAAACATTGAATATTGAAAATCAAATGCAATAAAATAATATACAAATGAATACATTACTTCACGTCATTCGTAAAAGTGAAATCAATACAATCTCAACATTTACAATAAATAGTACAAAATGCTTTCGGAAGTATAAGAAGAAAGTTCAGAGAACTATAAATAAAATTGAACGAAAAATAAAAGCAAATGCAATATGGGGGGTGGTGTACCTCGAATTTGTAGCACCCTGTATCGTGTAAAATATATCAATGTTATTGTACTTACAACAATTCCATTCTTGACCAAATCTTCGACTATAGCCTTGCCTATTCCTGCAGATGCTCCAGTAACTACAGCTACTTTACCTTGAAATCTTTCTAAAGAAAGAACCATGGCAATGATTTCTATAACAACCTAATAGGATAAAAGAAAAAATAAATGTAAATCTCAAAATACTAACTATTGTTCTCTATCTGTTAGTAACAGAAATTTAAGGTACGTTAATTAAATAACAAATAATTATATTTTACTTACAATTTTAAAATGAAACACGGACTCTAATATTCCAAACAGACCAGATATTGTTTATCAAACTCACGAAACGGAATTCCTAAATCAACTGCAGCAAGGTCAGATTATTTTATACTATATATATTTTCATTCAAATTTATAGTCATCGTGATGTGTGTAATCTAGACCGATGGAAATACAAATAATTAAACATCGTGATATGTACCTAATTAGCATTCTATGTGATATATCTATAGTCATTTCCCGTCAGTATTTTCAAATATATGATTTTAGAAATATGTTAGCAGATAGATAAGATACGAACTGTGTAAAAAACTGTAATGTAATAAAATTTAATATCAATGTTATTACTTTTATTTTGATTTAACCAATAATACACTTAGTGTGGTAGAAAAAAAATCAATAAATGGTAAATAATGTTATTTGGTTTCACTGCTTTAAGTCAATATTTTAAGTAGGAATGTGTTTTTTTAAATTTCATTGCTATACCGGGTGTGTCTCAAAAGTGGCTCACTCTTATAACTTTTTTATTTTTTCAGTTAAAAAAACGAGATTTGGTATATTAGTATATGACATAAATTAGGACTGATTGGCATATTCAATTGTTTTCGGTCACTTCCTGTTTCACCGGAAATTACTACAAGTTTTGATTATTAAATGGCACCCCCTTTATTTTTTTTTACTTTATTCGATAGGAACCCAAGTAGCAAATTTTATTTTATAAAGGCTGTATAAACAGCTATGTGATAATTTTTATAGGATACCTCAATTCATATAACGTGTTATATGACCGTAATATGATAGCTTTACAACCAGAAAAGGCCCATTTTTATACCGCATGATCGAGAAAAAACGGCGTCAACGATGGCTATGAAATGAAGATCGGTGTCATTTTATATGTAAATTTATATGGGAAATGTCATCGATCGTCATTTCCCAGCCAACTGGACGCCATTTTTTTTCGATCATACGGTACAACCGTTTAGTAGTATAGAAGTTCTATAAAAAGGGTATACAACTCTTATGCAACTATTTTACACAGCGTTATATGACTATTATAAAACTAGTTTTATTGTGTATTACGTGGTCACATCTAAGAAACAGGACAATAAAAACATTTGATCATTTAGCGAGGTACAAGAGTATTTTATTTTTTACCGAAGAATATTAGGAGCAAATTATATTTTAAGCGTGTCGTTAAATGAATCTAGAGGATGTGGATTGTTAAAAAGGAGACTTTACTCGACAATGAAAATGGCGGGTAGAGCCAGAAGGTACAACAAATAGGTAATATAAAAAATCATTAATAGGGTTTGAAAAGTAGGGACAATTTTTGTTGCGCCGAAAATTTTACTGGTAGATTATAGGTATGTATTTGGCAAAAAATTAAAGCGATTTAATTTTGATTAAGGTTTACATATAAATTTAAACAATAAAATAAAATTTTCAAAAAATCTTGTTTTTAATTTAATTAAACACTTTATTACTGTATGTGGGAATCTTATCACAAAATAGTTCTCAAAAATAACATTTTACAATATATTTTGATATTTTTAATGTTGCTTCATATAATGGCGGCCATAGGCCATACAAAAATTCTGCCTTAAACATGGCGAATTATAATGCAACCATTTTATTATAAATGAATCCCTTAAATAAGTCTTTGTTGTAAAATAAAACGGTATAGGTTAAATATCTATCATTACGCAGAATTTCCAGGCACTATAGAACTATTTTGGACATATTGAGATTTGTGACAAATAGATGTTGCCAAATCTCATTTGATTAGTATTTAAACTAACAAACATGAGCAGATTTTTATGGATTCATGCACACAATGCATTTCATGCGTGCCCGACGAGTGAGCGGCAACCTAAGGACTTGGAAAAACAACAATAAAATAATACAAACATTTCTACAGTAAAACTTTTACATCAACGTGGCAACAATGCTTTGAAGAAGCCAGACAACCCGAGAGATTTTGGCTTTTGAAAACCCAGGGAATTCTCGGGATTATTTGCCGTAATTTCGAGGAGTTTTTTCTTACATGCTCTTCTACAACTACCACTGCGTTTGTTAACTTTTTTCCAACTTTGTCCAGAATTCATAATAGCTGTGATTGATTATACTCGTATGTAGATATTACTTTTGCAACAACAACAATAACAAAATAAATAACTAAGTATACCATTTAATTTAAAATGAGGTTATGTTATACATTTACCAGTTTTATAACGCAGATATTACAGCGAATTTATTTTGTTAATCACAATTTTATCATATAAGGCTATATAACTGGTGTTGTATACAGCACCGTAGTTTAACTCAATAAAACATTCTGTCATATAATGTAATACAACTTTAATAAGATAAGTTTAAGTAACTATTATATGATGCTGTGACTACTAGTTATATGAATATTATAGAACTCTTACATAGTGGGTATAAGAGTCTAATAAAATAATATGTTTGTTATCATTAGCATTGCCTTATTAAATGTTATATCATATTTAAAGAAATTATCGTTTAATGCGTTATAGGATACGTTGTAAAAACCATTAGAAAATAGTTTAATATGACAATATTTTATTAAAAAACAGAATGGTCGAAACCAAACGCTTAATAAAATCAAGCAGTCCTTGAGACAACGCTATTCGACTGTTATAAAATAATTGAATCCTTTTAGAATTTCTTTTTGCTACTTGGGAAATGCCACTCTGAATCGAATGAATTATCATATGTCAACCTTTGATATTTTCGCTTAAAAAAGCGTATTTTAAAATTTAATCTAGAGTGCCATGGCTGTGTTAAGAACACTAATGTGTCATTATATCCAGAGTTTCATGTTCTATCGAAAAAAAAATATATACCGAGAGTGCCATTTAAAAATCAAAACTTGTAGTCATTTCCGGTTAAATAGGAAATGACCCAAAAAAATTGAATACGTCAATAAATCCTAATTTAAGTCATATACCTACTAATATACAAAATCTCGTTTTTTTATCTGAAAAAATAAAAAAGTTATTAGGGTGACCAAGTATATTTTAAAGTACAATATTTTTTATTACTCATCAGATATGAAACACAAATTTATTTTTAGTAATATTTCAGATTTTCATTGTACCGAAAATACAGGGTGGCCCATCGAAAACGTTCCGCAAGGCATAACGGCCAGGGCAATTTTTTTTTGAGAAAATTCAAAAACACGTCAATTTTGTTTGAGGGGGACAACTTTTGCCCCAAAAATGATTGCAAAATCTTCAACCCTCTAAGCGGGGGTGTCATCCCCCAATTTTTGTTAAATGGGAAGGGGGGTCAAGTGGTGCCGCAATGAAAAGGGCTTTCTATTCTCTATACTTTCCCGCTTCGTACTTGAAAATCGGTCGAGTCATTGAGAAAATATGAAGGATTGAAATTTGAAAAATGTATTTAAACATTTATCAGAATAAACGATAAGAATAAATTCCTTCGAGCAATTTGCTGTTTTTTTCTTATTATTTCTAGATGTTTACGCATTTTTTCACTTGCCACAAAGTTGAACGATCAGGAACGAAGCGGGAAAGTATAGAGAATTTAAAGCTCTTTTCTTTGCGGTGCCACATGACCCCCTTTCCCATTTGAAAAAAGTTGGGGGATGACACCCCCGCTTAGAGGGTTGAAGATTTTGCAATCATTTTTGGGGCAAAAGTTGTCCCTCTCACAAACAAAATTGACGTGTTTTTGGATTTTTTGAAAAAATAAATACCCTGGCCGTTATGCCTTGCGGAACGTTTTCGATGGGCCACCCTGTATATTTAACAAATTAAAATAGCGTATGAACTTCAACTGTTATACAGGGTGTCCCAGAAAAAAATGCAAGTATTTTAAAGGGTGACAAAGGGTGAAAAAAATTGCAACATTTTGAGAACTACCATGAATCGTGAGACAGAAGTTGTTATTTTGATTGTAAATTTTACTCAAGGATATATAGAAGAAGGATATTCAACTCCCTATAGCGGGCTATGTTGGAAAATATGCCGTATTTTGTCGAGGAAGACGATTTCGTCACGACCAATGAGCGTCGAGTATTTGAAATTGAAAACATATAAATTGACGGTAACCTATGTTTTTCGACTCATTTCACTGACAGATGTGATGAGATTATTATCACGTTATTATTGTAATTTTATAGATCCAAACGTATTTTGAAAAATAATATATTTTAAAGTTATTTCCTAGAGTTTGGTTTGGCCTTCTGACTTCTGGGTATTTGTCTACTAATAAATAATATCTTATTTTGTATTTCGATGTATGGAAATCCGCAAGTTTTGTATCTGAAGCCGCAAAGAAATTTCGCTCTATAGTGAGAAAAATGTTATTATATCTTTTTAGACGTGTAGAATTACAAAATTTCTTATTTCAGATGTTCTAAATGTGAGTGCATGTCAAAAATTTAAATATATACTTGAAATATTATTTCAAGTTATATGCTTTGACATTTTTTGGAAGTAAACAAATATTGAAGAAAGTGTTGTGCCTTCACAGAATTTAAATTGGCATTAGGAATAGATTTCCTTGATTTAGTAATAATATTGCTCATAGAAATTGATAATGTGAAGAATAACAATACAGGAACATAGAATAACAAGAAAGAAATTCTAGCAGCAAGTTAGGTTATGAGATAAATTTTATTTATATAGTTTGTTTAAAGAGTTTAGTTTGAAAAAAAGGTAAAACAATTATTATTGTCCATGTCATATTTGATAACTGTTCTTAATTGATAACATATTACAGGGACACAGTAAAAAGACAAAACATTTAGACCCTTTGAAAGAGAAATGTTTGCAATGGATATTAATAAATTCTAGCCAATTTGTATGATGTACAATGCAGGCAATATTTCTGCCTCTTAATGCACTATTCGCGTAAAAGAAGATGTGGGTATTGTATTTATAGGTAGTTAATGATATATGGAATATATTTCTATATTATTGCAATAACGATGTCTTTATGTTGTATTTTTTTAGAACAGATTTATTATTAGTTGGCTAGTGTGTTAGTAGGATAGCCATTAGTAGTTATAAAGTATGAAGTCGTCAGGTATTAATAATAGGAATTGATCAAAGCTTATACATTTATTGTGATATTTATATTGTGAATTTAAGTAGTTAGTTTTGGTTGTTTAATAAACGAATTAATATGCTTATTGTGTGTCTAATTAAAAGAACAATGAAAAGTTGAATACCATAGGGGTACGTATGTTATACAAAGAATTTGCATTAACATTTTTTTGGTTATATACTTGTACTGATGTTTGTTTCTTGAACTAAAGAATTATGCTATTGGTAGGTAGCTATTGGTAATTAAATTTTTTATCTAATATAATATCTAACATCAGAAATATTGTTAATTATCACTATAAACAACTAAGAACTAGAATTATCAACTATAAACAAAATATAATATACTGTTCTTAAGCAATATGTAATTATTTAACAATTATTTTTTTTGGGAAATAAAAACTGGTACTAAATTCTTTTTGACTATTTAATTTCTAAGTCACAAATAATGGTGGACAAATAGCAAGAAAATTATACAAGTAAAACATAATTTTAACTTATTTCTCTAATGGAATTTTGGTATTGATCTACTTAGTAGGATATGCAGTTTATCATATTTTTGAATATTTATATTCAATATTGTTCAGGAACAGCCCAATTACTCTGAAAAAAAAATATATGGTCAAATTCTTTGAAAAGAAACTTTTAAAATCAGTAATGATAAAAAAATATATAATTGTTGTATAGCAGAACCAGGGGACACAGAATTAGGGGAATTAACAATAGATTATTAAAAACTGCCTTCTCTTAAAAAAGTAGTATTATATGCACTTAGAAAGACTATAAAGGATATAAGTACGCATAGAAAGAAAGTAATTACTACTATATATATATATATATATATATATATATATATATATATATATATATACTACTGATATATATATATAACTATATATGAATACGATACCTACAGTATACAATATTATTAGTATAAAAATAACAGCACAGTCGGCACACTTTAAAATAAAAAAGCAGCATAATATTCAGGTATGTATAAAAGTAAAATTTTCTCAAAAATATTAGAATATGAAATAAATTGCAACTAAATTTTAATTAATAAACATAAACAAATAAAATTGTCAGTGTTATTAAAACTTTATGTAAATATATGTTACCTTAATACTTTGTCTTTAATCCTACTCTTCTGACATGGCTTTTCAAACTTATGCCCAAATCTCAATTCTTGTTATTAAGAATAATATTTATGAACTTTTGTTTCCATATTAATTTCAATATATTTGAATAAAACTGGAAAAATAATCAATATTGGCACTTGAAATTTTAACTTCTTATGTCCTTAAATTATTTATATTGTGTTATACATAATACTTACATAAATATTCAATTTAAAAATAGATCAGCACTTGAACGAGTGAATATAAAATAGTATATTATCAATTTCTATGAGCAATATTATTACTAAATCAAGGAAATCTATTCCTAATGCCAATTTAAATTCTGTGAAGGCACAACACTTTCTTCAATATTTGTTTACTTCCAAAGGGCAAAGGGTATAACTTGAAATATTTCAAGTATATATTTTAATTTTTGACATTAAGCACTCACATTTAGAACATCTGAAATAGAAATTTTGTTATTCTACGCGTCTAAAAAGATATAACATTTTTTCTCACTATAGAGCGAAATTTCTTTTGGCTTCAGATACAAAAAAATTTGCGGATTTCCATACATCGAAATACAAAAATAAGATATTTATTAGTAGACAAATACCAGAATATAGAAGGTCAAACCAAACCTCTAGGAAATAACTTTTAAAATAAATTATTTATTCAAAAACGTTTGATTTTGGATCTATGGAATTAGAATAATACCAATCTCATCACATTTGTTTCAGTGAAATGAGTCAAAAAACATAGGTTATCGTCGTAATTTATATGTTTACAATTTCAGTCACTGACGCCCATTGGTTTGTGACGACTTCGACAAAATATTGGCACGTTTTTTTTTGGGCCAGTCGAATATCCTTATTCTATATATCCTTGATTTTACTGAAAAATGTTAATAACATTGTATTGATAAACTGCAAAGCATTTTGTCAATACAATTTATTCGCGTTATCTTTCAAGATAATTTAATAATACCTATCTAATATATTTTTTTATTCAGAACACATACTCGTAGTTAATTATTAGAAAGTATATATATATTTTTTTATAAAAATATGATTATTGAAAATGATTATGATTCGTATATTCTGATCAATAATATTTGCTCTCTAGCTCCCCACAGCTTCTATTCTGAGTTCGCTAACCTAAAAATAAGAAAAAACAAAATATGTTAGTCTTGGTCTTCTAGATGTCATGTAAAGAGGAAAATCAATCAGAAAAAATAATAATATACCGGGTGCGTCTCCAAAGTGGTTTACCCCTAAAACTTTCTTATTTTTTCAGATAAAAAAAAACGAGATTTTGTCTTGTTAGTATATGACGCAAAGTACCGTATGATCGAGAAAAAACGGCGTCAAAGGCTGCTGGGAATGACTATCGATGCTATTTTTGACGAGGTTGAACTCTGCCCAAAGTTAATTAACTTTATTTTGATTTTTTTAGTTAATTAAAATTCTTCTTCTTTTCACTTTAAAGATCTTCAAAAAAATTAAATTTTAATTAAAATTAATACTAAATGTAGAAAATCTAGAAGATAATAGTAAGTTTCCGGATACAGAAATCTATATCCAAAAAATATTTTTTTCTGATAATTTGAACTATACCAGTTCTAATTAATAAAAAATCTATATTAGGTAAATCCTGTAAATCGTAATTAATACAGAATGAGTCTTTAAAAGTAACGAAGAGAAAGTCCCAGTCCCAGGCATTTTGATAAGTATACATAGAGTTAACAAAAATTGGATTATTCTACTGTTAAAATGTATGGATTATCCTTTTGTAATTGTCTAATACAGACTAGGCCCTTCAGATTTACTAATACTGTAGCTGTAAACCAATATGTGTGTTCAATTACTAGTAATAACCCGTTAATTCATGGAAGAAGTATCGTGTTTATCAACAAAGTTAATTGTAGGCCTTTAAATTTTGCTTAATATGGTCATATTTTGTAATATTCAACTCATAATTGTTGATACTTCTGGTGGATGATGTTCAATTTTATACATGTATAAAATAGAAACACACTAAATTGAAGTAGTACTAGAAACGGTAAGGTGATATATTTTTAAGAATCTGTATTATTACTTATACATTACTTTTTTACTTATAGAATATCTACCCCTGTGTATAACCTCTAAGAAACAAATTAAATGAACAAAACGATGTCAAAGAAATAGTCTATTGTATAGAGGATTTAAAGAAAACCAAATAGGTGATGCTGTAATCAAAGCTTTTCGATATTGACTTACCGAAATGTATAGTCATACGTTATGTTTGTACAATTTGTTTTTGAATTCCTTCTAGGTTTCTGCATCTTCAGTCAGTAAAAGTAGTTCATCATCAGCAGTTTTCTCAGTCCATAAGATTCAACATTTAAAAATACAGGGATACTTAATCATTAATTAATCTAATTTTTTTTTTGAGATATAGGCACTATAAGCAGCAAAATATTAGCCTTATAATCCCGGAAGATGTGGGCAATAAATTAAATGATAAAGAATTGCAAATTGTTTATACATATATGTATAAATCACTAGTTTTAAAATAAAAAAAATTGGCATTTTAAATTTTATATTGTATTTATTTATTAAATGATAAAATTAAAATACTTATATACTACATGATCTAACACTGTAAGTCTTAATAGATTCTATTCTTATGATTGACATATGCATATTAATTGTTTTCTTAAGTTATGTTACAATGAAACTCACTTTATAAACAGTATAATATAGGTCTGTATTTTCTTTCGAATGGTATTACAAAATATTTTTTACTGTGGACCCTACTAATCAATATACTATGCCTGGTTCAAGAGTCTAAATCTGTACATATTACATTTAATTTAATAACAAACCTAAATTATTTGTCTAAGTTCTGCGACTTACTAAAAAAACAATTATGATTTTCGAAAGTGATTAACACACACTTTTTCCAAAATTATATATTACTTCTTGATGTATGTATTATATTAATTCATTTATTTACTTCAATTGTTCCAAAGTGTATATTATTTCCTACAATCTACCAGTAGTTACATTAAAAGTTAGGTATGTACATAAATGACTTACCAGCCTAAAATTATTGAGATTAAATAATGTAATATATAAGTAAATAAAATTGACAATACACCAATAACATATTTTAGCAATAACCATTGATTCCTGCATGGAACTTTGTGATTACAGCATCACCAATTTTGTTTTCATTAAATCCTCTATGCAATAGATTATTTCTTGGACACAGTTTTGTTCATTTAATTAATATGCTTCTTGGAAAACAGAAACTTGGGCATACACAGGAACAGATACTCTATAAGTAAAGAAGTAATAATACAGGGATTTCGTAAAAATTACTATCTCACCTTATTGTCTCTCACCTTATTGTTTCAATTTGGTTTGTTTATAATTTATATATGTATAAATTGAACATCGTCCACCAGAAGTATCAACAATTATGAGTTGAATATTGTAAAATATGACCATATTAAGCAAAATTTAAAAGCCTACAATTAATTTTGTCGATAAACACGATACTTCTTTCATCAACTAACGGATTATTTACTGGTATTAAACACACATTTTTATTTACGGCTACAATCAATGCAATATTAGTAAATCTGAACGGTCTAGTGTGTATGAAACAATAATAAAAGGCTAATCCGTACATTTTAACAGCACAATAATCAAAAATTTTGACGAAACGTCTCTGTTGGAGGGGTCGAGTTTGTCGGACGACGAGATTTAGTTAGTTATCTTACTGGCCTCATTTCTCTTTATTTTGAAAAAGCATTGCATTAAGAATGATTTAATATCGATTTTTTATTGAGTAGAACTGGCAGATCAAAACATTTGAAAAACAATTTTTGGGAATAGATATGTGTATCTGGAAACTTTCTATTCTTTTCTGGTTTTTCTATATAAGGTATTAATTTTTGACAAATTTTATGTCAATTCTCAGTAACCGACGTCTAGAGTTCTATCTCGTCAAAAATAGCATCGATAGTCATTCCTAAGCCGCCTTTGACGCCGTTTTTTCTCGATCATACGGTATATGTCGCTTAATAAAAAATCGTATTTTAAATTTCAATCTAGAGTACCATGGTTATGTTAAAACACTAATTTTGGTTAAAGAGGCCTTGGAAAAACAGATTTGATCGTCTAATGTTTTTAGTGTCTTGTTCTGACCAGTTAAAAGATACCCAAATCGTATTTTTAATCATATCTCAATTTTTTCAAATGGAACGAACAATGGAACGAATTTTTTCAAATGAAACGGAATATTTAGAAAAAGCATTTTTCACAAATAATTTGATAACACATACTTGGTATTTCGAGTCAAATTTTCGTTATGAACCGCAATGTTATTTTCTGTCGAATAAAGCAAAAAATACCGAGGGTGCCATTTAAAAACCAAAAGTTGTAGTAATTTCCGGTGAAACAGGAAGTGGCAGAAAACAATTGAATACGTCAATCAAACCTAATTTAAGTCATATACTAACATACCAAATCTTGTTTTTTAACAGAAAAAAAAATAAAAAGTTATAGAAGTGAGCCACTTTTGAGACGCACCCGGTATAGGATGTGCTATTTAAAAAATCCCAGATTTTTTAATCTGAAATAGTCAAAATTCATAAATTTATTTTGAAATATTAACGTAGTAGACGACGCCCCGGAAGTTTTCGTGATAGAAGTAGAAAAGGTTCTTCAAGATATGAAAAATGGAAAAGCAGCAGCGAATGACAGAATACCAGCTGAAATACTTAAGTATGCCAGTAGGAGAACTTGGAAAATCCTAGCAAATATATACACTAGCCGACACAATCCTAATTTAAAGAAAGGCAGCAAAGAAGACATAATCTTTCTTCTTCTTCTTCTTTTAGAAGGCGTATCGCCTGTTTAGTTCCGGTTTCCTCCTCGTCTAAGCAACTCTTGCGAGGTTGACTGCCAACTGTCTTGCCAACGTTTAGGTGGTCGTCCAGTAGGTCTTCTGCCATGGGGTACGTTGTTGCGAATTATTATGGCCATTCTGTCGGGGCCCATTCTATTGACATGCTGGTTCCATTCTCTTCTTTTCTGCCTTATCCATCTGACAACGTCGTTTGTTTGGCACTTTTCTCTTATGTCTACATTTCTCTGTCTGTCCCTCAATGTGTATCCAGTTATCATTCTTAAGGTCTTCATTGCAGTAGTTCGTAGGATTCTTTTTATTACTGATGTTTCAGCTCTGGTTTCCGCACCATATGTCATCACTGATCGTATGCAGGTTTTGTATATTCTTGACTTACATTCTGTACTCAAATGTTTGTTTTTCCAATCTAGATGGAATTTAAGATGTCCTGATATTGCGGCAGCTTTATTGGCTTGTTTCCTTACTTCTTCTTCCAGGAATCCTGAGCTTGTAATTTTGCATCCGAGGTATTCGAATTACATTATCTGATCAATAGTTTTGTTTTTTATTACCAATTTGCACCGTAGAATAGGCTCCTTTGTAATGGTCATGCATTTGGTCTTATTTGTGGAAATTTGCATGTTAAGTTTTTCTGCCTGTCTGTTAAAAGCTTGTAGCATTCTTTGGAGGTCGTCCTCTGACTCTGCAATAAGTACTGCGTCATCGGCATAGCATAATATGTTAACTTTATGCATTCCAATTCGATATCCTAGTCCAGTATTCTTGACGGTTTTTATTACTTGATCCATGATTGTGTTGAATAACAGAGGGCTGAGGCAAATTTTTGAACTCTCGCCTTGGCGAATACCAGTTGTATTTCGAAGATGCTGCGTTAAGGTAAAGTTTGTTCTTATTTGGGTTGTTGTGTTTGTGTTTAAGTCCTTGATAAGTTCTGTGAGTTTTTTTCGAGACATTACTGCTTTCCAAGATGGTGATGATGTCTTTTAGTTGGACTCTATCAAAGGCCTTTGTTAAATCTATAAAACATAGATAGGCTGGAGAGTTATATTCTAAGGATTTTTCAACTAGTTGCTGAGTATGAATAATGCATCGGTAGTTGATCTGTTTCTTCGGAATCCTTGTTGTTCCTCGCTTATTGGCACTATTGAGGAGATTTTGTCCGCAATGATCTTAGAAGTTTTAGCGAGGTGCTCGGTAATGTTATTCCTCTATAGTTTGTTAAGTTCCTCTAAGTTGGGTCTGTTTTATCTCCTTTTTTAAAAATGGGTATTGTTATACTTTGTTTCCATTCTTCTGGTATTTTCTTATGTTGTAATATAATGTTAAACAGTTTTGTGTATTCCTCTATGATAGGCCGTGCCTGCGTTTTTTATTAGCTCGTTTGGTATTTTATCTTGATCAGGAGATTTTCTATTTTTAAGTTTCCTTATTGTCTCTTCTACTTTGCGCAAGATCTTCTGTATTTTCTCTTTGGCTTGTCTCTTTGCTTCCATTGGTTCATCTGTTTCTGCGTATAAGTCTCTGAAATATTTTTCCCACGTATCTTCTGCAATTGATCTTAGTTGTATTGTTTCATTTGTTTCTCGTTTCAAACCCCTCAACATCTTCCAAATACGTTTATGTGCTCCGTACATATCCGCCTCCATTTCGCTACTAAATCGCTGCCAATATTCTTCTTTAATTTCTCGTACTCTATTATTAGTCCTGTTCCTTATTTCGGTATAGATATTTCGGTTCTCCGGTGTTGGAGATTTCTTGTAAGTATTTTTCCCTCTGTAATTTTCTTGACTTCTAATGTAAACCAAGGTTTAATGTTCGGTCTTCTATTGTGTGATACAGTACGTGTCCCTAAAGCTTCTTTAGCACCTTTGCAGATGTTATCTTTCAGTTTGTTCCAAGCTGTGTTAGGAGTATCAAACTGTGCAATGGGGTTAAGAGCTACATATGTGTTTGGCATCTGTTTGAATAAAGTTGTTTAGTGCTTTCGTGGTTGAGGGATTCTATATTGAATTTTTCAGTTTTTATCGATGGTCTTTTTTGGATAGCGGCGCACCTATTCGTATCTTTCCTAGCACAAGTTTGTGATCTGTTCCAATATTGGCTGAGGATAAGACTCTTGTCTATTATTTGTTGAGGTAAGAAACTTCGATTGGTGATGATATAATCGACTATTGATTTATTGCTTCTATTGTCATAGAAGGTGTATTTGTGTTGTTCTTTATGGGGAAAATATGTGTTGTTTATTCTCAGTTCGTTCTGTCCACAGAAATCGGTCAAAATTTCGCCATTTCTATTAGTTATATTCTCGTTATATTTTTGTTTTATTCCATCCACTACCTCGTTTCCAATTCTTGCGTTTAAATCCCCTAACAGAATTATCTTTTCATGTCTTGGTATTTTGTTTATCGCTGACTGTAGATTTTCATAGAAGTCCATTGACATTTCTTCAGGTTTATTAATGTCGGGTGCGTACACTGATATAATGTGAATGGGTTGGTCAAACATAATCTTTACTCTCAGGATTCTGTCGGACACGTATTCTATGCTTTCCATATTCTGTTCATATTTATCATTTATAGCTACTCCAACGCCTGATGTTGCTCTTTGGTCTTTTGGTACGCCTGAGTATATTAAAATGTAATTATTTAGTTTTGTTGTCCCTTTGCCTTTCTTTTTTGTTTCGGAAAGTGCACATATGTCTATTTTATGTTCGTTGAGAAACACGTTCGTTCACAAAAATAATAAACAACAAAATTGCAGTCTTTAGAAGGGCAGTCGCACAACTCTGAATGGAATGAATACACCATAATTGGGAATGATTGAATAAGCTGAAAATGATGACAATAATGGTGATGATTTGTGACTCTATCTTTGACTAATATTGTTAATAATTCATTCATATTTTTAATATAGACAATTCCCTTTAATATACCTTCAATTTATGAACCAAAAAGTATTGCTTTTTAGTATAATTCCATTATATTACTTACATTTATGTGTGGTGCTGTAGCCAATGCGTAAATAACTGCTTCGGCCACATCTGAACCATTAAGGGAAGGTATTTCTCCTACACCTGCTGCACTTTGTAATTCTGTTTTCACATAGCCAGGACTGATACTCTGAAATTATGAATATTCCATCAAAAACATTAAATGGAAATAACCAAAAAATCGCCAAAAACAACTACCCATGCCCATTGCCTGAAAACTTATATGGTGAAATTTTGATAAAATATATACTTTACCTTTAATAAATATATTACTTTTAGGTACAATTTGGGCCCAATACATTTCAAAATGTAGAATATTATTTTATATTAAATGGGGTATTGTACCAACAATCAATTTATATTAATACTGGAGATTAAAAAATAACAGAATAAATGTGTAAAAGTTCCCCTTTTTTTATACTACAAAAATAAACTATAGAAAACAACAGTATTTAAAAAATTAAATAAAAAAGTTATGTCCCGGCCGAGATTCGAAATCCGGTCTATCGCTTCCTAGCCTGACTCTTTACGCACTGCTCGACAGTAACTTGCTTAGCGACAGTTCAATGACAGTATATAAACAAAAAAACAGCTTCATTACAATATCTTGATGATTTGAATTGGCGCGCGGAGCGTGCTGACCAATAGCGCTTTTTATCACCTGTGACGTAGCGACCAACCTGCGCAATATCATACCTTGTTTTCTTTGTACCATGGTATAATCCCATGGTACAAAGAATACAAGGTATGATCGATAGCGGCTCCAATTTCGTTCAGTTCGCGCATACCACCTGTGACGTCACTAGGAAAATAATGAATAAATAAAAAATAAAGAAAGTTGACAGGATGTTGAAAGGAGATCTGCATTTTTGGGGTTATGGTTAAGAATTGTTTATTTTTAAGACTTTTTAGTTCGTTTAATTTAATAATTACTAAAACCAGCAGTTCCAAAAATATATTTAAAAATAATAATTATCTATTAACATGGATTTGGACGATAATAGGTAAAAATACTAAATTTATTTCTATATTCGCTATAAAATTGTTTATTAGGTTTTTAGTTTGCGATGTTTATGGTAAATAATTTTCATTTTTATTGCCTCTGAATTCACATGAGGACAGAGATGAGGATATCTATGGAAAAGTAACCATAAGAGGAATTGTTACATCATCTAAAAAATGTTGGGAAGTTTATTGTTTCCCATCGAAAAGTAGAAAATGCCAAAGCAGATGAACGTATTGTAATTGTGATAGAAGTAATTCCAAGGGTGAAGTTTATTATAATTAGTGGAAGTAATACCAAGGGTGAAGTTTATTATAATTAGTGACCTGTGCTTCTTTTTATATGTAGATGTTTCTGATTTTGAGAATAAATCGGTTGAACGACACCCAAAATTTAAAGGAAGTCTTTGCATACCCAGAATATACCCATCAAGGATTATATAGCTCAAATTTCCTTTAATGGTAGAAAATTATTCAATGCCAATTAACTTTTTAAGTGACTGAAATATTAAATAGTTTACAATATGGTATATCACTAAAAATATATTACTTTTAGGTACAATTAGGGCCCGATACATTTCAAAAAGTAGAATATTATTTTATATTAAATGAGGTATTGTACTAACAATCAATTTATATTAATAACGGAGATTAAGAAATAACAGAATAAATAGTTCTTTTTTTATACTACAAAAATAAACTATAGAATACAACAGTATTTAAAAAAATAAATAAAAAGTGATGTTCCGGCCGAGATTCGAACTCCGGTCTCTCACTTCCTAGCCCAACTCCTTATGCACTGCTCCACAGTAACTTGCTTAGCGATAATTCAATGACGGCATATAAACAAACAAAACAGGTTTATAACAATATCTTGACGATTTGAATTGGCGCGCGGAGCGTGCTGACCAATAGCGCATGTTATCACCTGTGACGTAGCGACCAACCTGCGCAATATCATACCTTGTATTCTTTGTACCATGGTATAATCCCTTATCTTTACTTTCCTTCTTCGTTTGTGTAAAAATACCTAGACAGTTTTACATAAAACGTTAAATGCCGAACGCTTATTTTGCTACTTACTAGTAAAATGAACTCTTTAAGACAAGCTTAAATCAGGCGAGACGGGACACAAGTTAGACGACCTTGGCTTGCTTCGGACTGTTTTTGCCATGTGTAGTGGGTGTTTTACGATTTCTTATAAAACATAAAATTGTTAGCTAGAGGAAGCTAGTGAGACTGGATCATTAAAAATCCAACCCTTCTAAAAAGTACTGTTGTACTTACCGTGACCTTAATGTTCAAGTTTTCTCTCTTTAAGTCCAATCTTAGCGTCTCTGCCAATGCTGTAATAGCATGCTGAGTGGCAGGATAGACGTTCAGATTAGGAAGGTCCGATACAGCATGTCCCAGGATGCTGTTGATATGTACAATGTGTCCTTCTGTGTTGTTTTCCTTCATGTTTTGCACTACCTCCCTTGTAGCGATCAAGTTTCCCAACATATTTGTTTCTATCGAGTTAAGAATAAATAGATTAGTTCATTATGATGATTAGTATTGTTAATAAATTTACATTTTGAGAAATACAATAAATTTAGTTTTTGTGTCATTTTGGCAATAATGAATTGAAAAATCGCGCCATCAATAATATAGGTAGGATATGGGTAATTCATTATTCTTACCAATAGTTGTTTTCCATTTTTCTGTATCTCCATTAATCAAATCTGTAGCCTGGAACACACCGGCGTTGTTGACAAGAATATGAATATTTCCCAATTTCTTAATGACTTCTCGAATTGTTGACTTGATTTCAACTTCTTTTTTCATATCGCATTTGAATACGTGTAATTGACCTTTTTCCTTACTCAGTGCGAGAGCAACTTCTGGCAAACGCTCTGGTCTGATATCCAAACCAGCTACCTTTAAATAAAACTAATACTGTAGTTAATTAGTAATACAACAATAAAAAATGTTGTTAACATATAACAATATTACCATAACAGACAAAAACAAAATGATAATTCTTTCAAAAATTTTATATAAATATAAAGATAGTATGAACAGAGACAACGGTCCAATTCCTTCAAGTTCTTTGTTCCTACTACTCTAGTGGCGGAAATCTAACTGTTACGCTCAGTGGGTTCTGACTCGGTTGGCTTGATTTTGCCACGCCTACTCGGTGCCCACTGGGCGAGTATATAAACGCTCAACTTGTAGATTGTACTTTAGTTTATAATCATCTGCTGATGATGCTAACATGGTTAGCGAAACGCGCGTCCAGTGTAAAAGTAAAAGTGTTTTGGTGTATTGTGGTGATTTAATGTTTTTATTTTGCTACAAAGAAAGTATCTAAATATGGGAGGGAGACTACACCATAATTGGAAACGGCTGAATAAGCTGAAAATGATGATGATTAGTATCATCAGTGTATAAAATACCTGAATTCTACTTACGATAATCCCTTTCTTGACCAATTCTTCCACTATGGCCTTGCCTATTCCGGCAGCTGCTCCAGTAACTACCGCGACTTCGCCTTGAAATCTTTCTAGTGAAAGGACCATGATGGGACCAGTGATTTGTATAATAACCCAATAGGGTAAAAGAAAAAAGTCAAAATAATGACTATGGCATCTGTCAGTTACAAAAATATAAGTTACGTTAATTAAATAACAAATACATATTATATTACCTCATGATACAAAGAATACAAGGTATGATATTGCGCAGGTTGGTCACTACATCACAGGTGATAAACGGCACCATTGGTCGGCAAGCTCTGCGCGCCAATATCAAATTGTCAAACAGATTGTGTCATCTGTGAAATTTGATTGTGTCAAAATGTGAAAATAATTTTTCAAATGTCAAGCTCGATGTCAAAACATAACTTTTGGGGTTATGTCCTAATTCTTCCCTATTTTAGGTCTTTTTCTATTAGTGGCAATTGAACAATATGGATATTTGTTTGTATGGCGTATTTTGTACGTCACAGGTGGTATACGCAAACTTAACGAAATTGGAGTCGCTATCGATCATACCTTGTTTACCTCTTTACCAATACAGACAAGTCTGGATAGCAAAGAAACAGCAATTTGTGCCTTCTTGGATATTGCGGGGGCGTTTGACAATATACCACATAAGGTGGTCAGGCGATCTCTAGAAACAAGAGGGGTGAACAGAACTATTATTCGCTGGTTTTGGGAAATGCTGTAACACGAACAGCAGAGGCTCAGATGGGCACCAAAACTGTAGCTGTTAAAACAACGCAAGGAACTCCACAAGGTGGAGTAACCTCCCCTTTGCTGTGGAGCTTGGTAGTGGATGAACTACTAGACGAATTAACTCTAGCGGGAATACACTGCATTGGGTATGCAGATGACATAGTCATCATCGCTCGGGGGAAAAGGCACCCTGTGTAATATTATCCAAAGACGACTCCGTATCACTGAGAGATGGTGTAGGACTGTCGTGCTGAGTATCAACTCAGACAAAACCGCGATAGTGCCATTCACCAGAAAGCGAAGTCTGAAAAACTTGAAAAGAATTCAACTAGATGGAAAGGTAATACTGCCAACACAGGAAGTTAAATATCTGGGAATAACCCTGGACAGTAAACTCCTGTGGAACAGGCATATTAAGAACACTACCAGCAAAGCCATAAAGGCTCTCATGATATGCAGAAGACTGGCCGGAAATAGATGGGGCTGCTCCCCTAACACTTTGCGCTGGATGTATACCATGATAGTAAGACCCATGATTACTTATGGAGCAGTTGCCTGGTTCACAAAACTAGAGCAACGGACGGCAAGGCTAAACTTGTGCAAAGTCCAGAGACTAGCATGCGTTTGTATCACAGGAGCCATGAAAACCTGTCCAACAGCAGCAATGGAGGTCATTCTAGATCTAACACCACTGCACATTGTCATTGGTAGAGATGCCCATGCGACAATGATTAGAATGGTCACTAACGGAATTAGAACTGGGAGAATTGTCAGATCAGGGGCTTGGAACACCCTCAAAAAGGAAATACCACTCCTGAAACTCCCAGTGGACGATATGCCAAGAACGTACAACTTTGAGAAAATCTCAATGTAGTATTGAACAATAAAAATGATTGAAGAGCGAAACGCTTGCCCAGCAGTTAAAAGACCATACCATAACTTGGTATACTGATGCTTCCAAAACCAATACGGGAACAGGGATCGGAGTGTTTGGACCGAGAGCTAAATACTCCGAACCAATGGGCACTTACCCTAGTATCCTACAGGCAGAAATCTACGCTATCGAAAGATGCGTACAACTTATCTTAGATAGCAACTATCGGAAACAAGAAACAGCCATCTTGTCTGATAGTCAAGCAGCGTTAAAAGCGATCAACTCAGTATCGATCAATTCGAAATTGGTCAAAGAATGCATAGAGAAGCTGAATAAATTAGGCAAAGAAAACAAAGTCCTCCTACTCTGGGTGCCTGCTCACCAAGGGATAGAAGGCAATGAAAAAGCAAATAATCTAGCTAGGAAAGGAGCAAACACTCCACTAACTGGACCAGAACCGTTCTGCTTTCCAAGTGGTAACCAACTCAAGGCGGAACTCAAGAACTTGGAAGATTCCATCCGCAACCTGGAATGGAAATCTTGCAATGGTCTAAGATACTCGAAGAAGTTTCTGAGGGCTTATGATCAAGAAAAATCACAGATCTTCCTGGGTCTGAGTAAGAACAATCTTCGGATTGTCACGGGGTTTTTAACAGGACACTGTCTCCTCAATGAACACCTCAGTAGATTGAAACTAAAAAGAAACGGCGAATGCAGATTCTGTGGGGAAGATGGGGAAACACCAGTACACCTCATCTCTGAGTGCGCCGAGACGACAACCATTCGTGCCATGAATTTTGGTACGACTGATATTGGAGATGGAGAACTACCCTCTATAAAACCGTCCCAGATACAGATATTTACCACCTTGTATCTGAAAAGTTAAGATGTTTAGGAAATATATTCATATAAAGTTTTTTTCTTATAATAGGTTCAAGAATCGCCTTCTCAAATGTTAGCATGTCATTAAGGAACACCCTGTATAAATTTTGAATAAGAATATAATCTTAATGTACTGATAATAATAATAAAATTGACAGATGAATTATTTTATTTACAACATACAAAAAATAAGTATTTTTTATTAAAATAGTTATACAAAATGAAAAATGATGAAAATCTTGCCCACATATTTTAGAAATCACATCCCTGGACCATCATAGTCAATTCTTTGATCTGAAAGGAAAGAATAAGATAAATTTCGATGATAACAAATCAAAAAAACATAGGTAATATAAAGTTTTCTTACATTAACATGCTCTGGAGTTGATAGAACGTAAACAATGGTACCAGCTACGTCTTCGACCTCTAGTCCTCCTCTGGTTTCGAAGTACGTCGTAGGTTCGTCGGAAGAAAACCTGCTTATTATCTCCGTTTTGACATATCCCGGACTGATACTCTAATTAGAAGAAATTATAAGTTATTAATTGAAAAGCAAACTCAATAAGGTAAGTTTTTATGGGTACTTTAGCCATTTTTTAATATTCTTATGAAAACGCAGAGTCACAGCTTAAGTAAAAACCAGCTCGGACAGTGTAGCCTGCCGCTTTGATCTTTTTACGCTCGGATTTGCGATTCGAAAGAGGGGGAACACTAGAGCGGCGAGCTCTCTCCCCAAAACCAATAGCCGCGTAAGCGCCAGTCAGCCCAGAGATGTATTCAAAAAAATTTTACACGTGACGTAAAAAATTATTCGACTGTGCTAGAACATAATTTAGATACACGTTTTTTAAATTGTTGACTTTAAATAAATATGCATTCTCAAAGAAAAACATTTAAAAAACAAATTAATTAATTTATTTCTAGAAATAACAGCAAAATGAAATAAGTACATTGATTACTTATAGTTATTTACGAATGTTTCTAAATTAGGAGCTTTCGGTTTTTGTTTGCTACATTTAAGTTCTTAGTAATATTCTTTAAGGTATAATAATTTCTAACTTTTGCGTATAAATTTAACAAAAAATACATTATAGGAAAATTTTGATTGATGGTTGAATTTAATTGTCTGAAATAATTTAACGAATTTACATAATATATTTTCATTTAAGAAAAGTTCTTCAAAATTGTTCTGAAAAATTTTATAAAAAAACTTTTTTAAAAACAAGTTTTTATTTAAATACACTAAAAAGAATAAAATAAACTTTTTCTTTAGAACTTTTATTATGAACTTATAACGTCATTACACAATTTTAATATTATATAAAAGCTTGTCGCGAGATTTGAGTGTACATTTGCACTCATAAAAATCTGGTACGACAACTTTATCTTGTAATTCCTGGTCTAGTGGTCTATCATAACAGAAACTTTGAGAATGAGACAGGGTAGACACAGGTTTTAGTTAATTTACTTGTTTATCGATGTAGAGAAATCTCGCGACAAGCTTTTATATATCTAATATTAAAATTGTGTAATGACGTTCTAAGTTTATAATAAAAGTTTTAAAGAAAAAGAGTTTATTTTATTCTTTTTAGTGTATTTAAATAAAAGCTTGTTTTTAAAAAAGGTTTTTTTATAAAATTTATCATCTACTTTTTAGTTATGCTTGTTTCTCAGTGCCACACACTTAAACTCAATTTTTTTTTCTTAAATAACTTTCTATGGGTATCCTAATAATATGTATATTGATTTTCATTAAAAAAGGAGAACTTAAAAAAAACGACAGCTGTCAAATTTGACAGTTCAAATGTGAGACAAATAAAATGAAAACCGACTATGGGGTAGGGGGCATCCAATATATCGATTTTTATCAAAATCGGACAAATTTGAAATTATTTAACAGCTGTCAAATTTGACAGCTCAACATTTTTTTTTCATTTTCGCCCATGGCCGTCCTATATATCAACTTTTACCAAAATCGGACAACTTTGAAATTTTTTTGACATCTGTCAAATTTGACAGCTCAAATTTTTTTTCTTTCATTTTAGCCCATGGCCATCCTATATATCAATTTTTATGAAAATCGGTTGACTTTAAAATTATGACATGTCATTAAACTGTCATTTTTTCAAGATGGCCGTCCATATATTTTTTTTCATATGTATATACCGACAATATACCTATACAGGTTGTTGCATACGTTCTCAATAGGCAGTGTTGCCATTCTGTTTCCCTATAAGTAACTGTCGAGTTAACAACCTGTATATATATATAATTTCAGCCCGATCCATTCATAAATATAATTTTAAAAAATCAAAAACTTCAAAAATGCCGCCATTTTGACAGCTGTCAAAAATTCGGGTCATGCCTTGCAAAAAAATGTATTGTCATCGGGACTGAACCTACATGCCAAATTTCAATTTCCTACAATAAAAGGAAGTGGTTTTAATTTAGCTTACAAGATTTGCCCCGGAGAAACATACATACATACATAGATAGTTACATACAAAGCAAGTTAAATAAAAGCTTATAAAAATAACCTCCAATGAGGAAACTAAATAAAAAAATGGTCACTTGGTATTAGCAAGCCTCCAAATAAGTAGTCTTCATCGTTTTGAAAAGCTCTAAAGTATGAATATACTTTTAAATTGAACATTAATTTTGAATTGAAAATTAAACAGACTATATTTTGAATTATTTCCATAATTATTTGTGTAACCAGCAGCCGCACATCCCGGAAAACCTTTTCCCATTCCATCAATAAAAATAAAATTGAAATAAAAGCACAAATACCTATGGTTAAATATAAGAAAAAAAATCGAATTAAAATCTTCCGTAATACGGCCCTACGTGCCACCGGTGGAGGCTATGCATCGACTGAATGAGGCTGACTGTCGGTCGCTTAATTCAGTTAGCGCATCGTCGGAGTGGGGCGTTTTAAATTCGAGCGTGGGAAAAATTGGCGAGTGTCAAAGCTATGTTATTCTGTAAGCTGTGGCAGAGTCAACTGTATAATATCCAAGTTGTGTGTGCATACGTACTGTTTTATTTGTGTCTTTTTTATTGAAAAAGTGTGTCTTACTGTTATTTTTATAGGAAGCCCGTTCCTGTTAACCTCTTTTCTCAAAGTTTCGGTTAGGGCAGTAACTGCGTGTTTCGATGCAGGATAGAGGGATAGTCCTGCAAAATCCATAGGCACGTGTCCTGCAACGCTGTTTATCTGAACGATGTGTCCTTTGATGTTGTTGGCTTTCATGCTGATTATTGCTTCCCTTGTGGCTATTGATAGTCCCAAAACATTTGTGTCTAAAAGAATTAAAAAAAAATAATTATCGTATTTCTCGAAATTGTGTTAGGTATTTAGCTATACCACAGACTAACCTAAACAGATGCGACAAACAATGCAAATGTGAAAATTACATTTTGGCGAATGCGCCAGGCAAATTTTTCCGTTAGATTTGTCATATAGGCGAATTTTACAGCGGACCAGCAAAGTAACCTCCATTCGTTTACTAAGAAGCCACGCCTCCTTTGTGTAGAAAATAGAGAGGGAATTTTGTAGTTCGGAATCAAATAGATGATTTTAATTTCATTAGTTTTTTTCAATTTTTGATACATCACAATCTATACCTACTAATATATAAAATTCTTAAGTGACTGACTCACTGATTAATCACGATCCTGCTCAAACCACTCAACGTAAGAAGCTCAATTTTGGCATACAGGTTGATTCTAGGGTTCGAAAGAAGAAATTTTTCGAAATTCCAGTTCCAAGAGGGTGAAACCATCCCTCAAATATTACAATATTTTTTATTTAAAAAACGGTCAAGTTTCCGAAAAACGCTTAAACACGTATATGTTATTTTGTTTGTTTACATAATTTAAGATTTTTTAAAAATGTATACAGGGTGTTTCGAAAAATCTGGTCATTGATTAATCACGATCCTGCTTAAAGCGCTTGACGTAAAAAGCTGATTTTTGGAAAACGGATTGACTTTAGGGTGTAGAGGTTCGATAAGAAGGGATTTTTCGAAACTCGAATTCTAAGGGGGTGAAACCACCCCTCAAATATTAGAATATTTTTTATTTAAAAACCGATGAGTTTTTCGGAAAAGCTCTTAAAAACGTATATTTTATTTTGTTGTTTTACATATTTTAAGATTTTTTAAAAAATTATACAGGGTGTTTCATAAAATATGACCATTGAGTAATCACGATTCTGCTTAAACTGCTTGACGTTTAAAGCTGATGATTTTTGACAAACGGATTGACTGTGGGGTGTAGAGATTCCATAAGGAGGGGTTTCTCGATTCCAAGAGGGTGAAAATGCCCCTCAAATATTACAATATTTGTTATTTAAAAAACGGTTAGTCTTTCGGGAAAACGGTTGGACACGCATAATTTATTTTGTTTTTTTACATATTTTGATTTTTTTTTAAAAATCATACTGGGTGTTCCAAAAAGTTGGGTAATTGATTAACTACGATTCTGCTTAACTGCTTGACGTAAAAAAAATTATTTTTGACAAACAGATTTTTCGAAAGTCAAATTCCAATGAGATGAAACTACCCGTCAAATATTACCAAGTTATATAATAATATCGCCATATTGTTTTTTCTCAGGCTCAAGACATAAATGTGAGAACATTTTATCCAGTTTGTATGTTAATGGAAATTTTTGAAAATTCCTCATCTCGGGGATGATATAGGGGTGAAAGTTGGTATGAAAATTTATTACTACCTGGCATAGAAGTATAATATTTTTACAAAGTTTATGTAGTTAATAAGTCGATTATTTGATCGAACTGTATGTCTATTCGCTTTTTTCGTATTAGAAAATCTAGGTATTTTCGGAAAAAAACACCCACAGTTTTTGATATAATTTAGTCCTAGAAAATCTAAAAAATGTATCTTCTTGTATTTTTTTAAAAGCATTTTAAATAAAATCAAAACAAGAAACTTAAACTGAATAGCTGAATTAACTAAAACAATACTAAGAACACCGTGAACTAACTAAATGTAAACCAACAAAACCCAACAGAAAATTAAAATCGGAAACAGCTAATAATAATGATGTATGTAATATCCATGTGAAACAACTGAAGAAACTGACTTAAAAATCCTCTGAAAACCTTCAATATTCCCATCTTAGATTCCCATATCCTTTTTCTAGGACACTGTTGCCAATTCTACTTACCAATTTGTATAAACTATATCGGTATCACGGCACATGCAAACAATATGCCGTGTCTGTATCATAAAAGTACCTATTTGCTATATAAAAGATCAGCTGCTAAATTTTAAATCAATTTAAAATATCAAATAAAATTATAGTAGTGCATAAAACTATTAACAAGCAGGATATAAAAATAATTAAAGATAATTTAAGCTGGCTAATAGTAGATAGACTTTAGATTAATATTTGAAATTAACAGCTGGAAGTACAGCTAAATACAAACGGCAAGCTGACAACAAAGATCCTATTCTTTAAGAATTGTATATTTCTGATATTTTATATAATTTTTAATTTTAAAGAAATCGTCATTTTCTTTATACATATGTATTGATCTTAACCGATTGTTAAAATTTGTAAATTTCTCATACTTTACAAATAAATATTAGCTGATATTTCCTAACATCATGTAATTATAGTTATTTATTATTATCCAGGAGAAAGCGCTAATACAAGTACATATAATATTTAATTCTCACATAAAAAAAATTCAAGCTGGCAATCTCGCTTTAACTTTATAATCGTACATCGGCTGCGACGGGCAGACGAGGCGGCGCGGTGTATCAAAGGCAAGGTTAAATGCGAGAAAGAACGAAAGAAATGGAAGCTTAGAGAAGGGGGTGTGCGGGAACGATTTGAAGTCACCACGGCTGTTTGTTTGGCCGAATATTTTGCCTTCATCGACAGTATCGCCGCTCTGTCGTCGCACTTCCGAACATAGGTCTTTTTGAACACAAAATTTCCCATAAAGTGTCGCATCTGTTTAAGTTAGTTTGTGGCTATACCTAATCTGTCCAATGGGTGGTTTCCTGATAGTGTACAATTTTACTTAATGACAAATGACAACGAATGAAGAAGGAAATTAAAGATAAAGGATCATACTATATCCGTATTGTAGCACATTTTTAGACAAATTAATTTTTAGGATTTTGATGGTCAAACTTCAACAAAATATTCCTTATGTCTGGACCAAATTTTCTCGAAAATAAAGACATCATTCAAAATTCGGTTACAATACGGAAATAGACTGAAGTTTTCTGATTACAGTGGTATATAATTTATAGGGTTTTGTAACAAATTGATCGCTATTTTATGACAAACGCTGAAGCTCTGCAAAATAAAAAGAGACTGGCAAATTAAATGGCAGAGAGAGGGACAACGTTCCCGTAGCGCAACTCAGAACGCGAAATTTCGTTCTATTTCTGTTGATCTGCGCATTGCGTCTATTGGGCCCACTATCTCATTCTAATATAACAAGAGAGAAAGAATAAGCAACCATATAAAACGTAATATCTAAATAGAAATTAGAACAATCGCCCCTTTCGTTTTCGTTATCATGACAACCAAGATGACAACATCATGACAATTCCTCATGTTTGTTAATTTTTCTTTTGGTGATTTACCTTTTTTTCTAAATTCTCTATTTTATTGACTTATGGATATGGATAGGAAACAAATTCCTTTGTTCCATATAGGTATTTATATTTTATTACTTATAATTTTCGGTTATACTATTTGTAATTTTATTTGCTGCAGGACCCAGTATCATCTATTTTTTATATGTATTGGTGCCCCCTTTCTCTGATAGATATGTTAAAGACACCCGGTAAAATAAAAGTAAGTAGTTATATTTATCATCTTATTAAGAAAAAAGTAGAAGTAGTAGTGTCAAAAATATTTCGAACCACTCTTAACATAACAAATTAATACAATTAATTTTTTTTATTTTTTGGGTAGGTAATTTATAGCTGGTTTATAGTAACCAGAAACTTTATTAATATACCTATTTTAGTTTTGTTTTAGGATTAAAACTGGACTTGAAAATGGTTCAGGATCATGATTCTCGTTAAGTCTTATTTGCTTGGATATTCACTTTGTTATTGCAATTAGGCAGTTTTTTCGAAAATGAGATTTTTTATGCCTTTTAAAAAAATTGGCCGATCGTTTCCTGCAACAGTCAGTTCTTCTGCAGTTAAAATTGGTAGGTGGGTGGAATAAACACTGTTGTTTTTTGTTATTATATTATAAAAAGTTTATTTATTTTTATTTATAAAACAGTATATAATAGTAGTATTCTTTCGTTCTGAAAGAAACTACAAATTTTCACTTAAACTGATTTATTCCCTACACCACGTTCCCTTTACGTGGTATAGGGAATAAATCAGTTTAAGTGAATATTTTCAGTTTCAGAATGAAAGAATACTACTAATAATGGCTAATTTAACTTTTCCGCCAGCCAGAATATGCGATAATGTCTTACGGTACGTTTTATACCTATCTCTTTCTTTTTCATATAAAGCATACGGGAACCCGGTCCCACTCATTACCATGAGATTTGTCAGTCTCTTTTTATTTGTTTGTCTATGACTATAACTCAACGTTCTCTTTGGATGGACTATACTTTAAAAGCTTACCAAGTATTTGTCTCCACTTCTTAATATCACCATCGATGAGATCTGTACTGGGTACCACGCCGGCATTATTGATTAGGACATGAATGGGTCCTAAGATGTCTGTAATTTTCTTAAAGGTAGCAATGACTTGGTCTTCGTCAGATATATCACATTTGAAGGGATAAAATTTGCCTTTTTCATTTTTTAATTGTTGTTTTATTTGTTCTAAACGGTCTAATCTTCTAGCTAATCCGGCAACCTATTAAAAAATTATTTAAATTTGAATTCTCTTCTGTGATTTTGACTATTATTTACTATTTATTTACATACATTGACAGGATTGACGCTTAAAACGCCCCATAAGCCATTCCACTTGAGTTTATGATTGTAACGCTCGCAAGCAAGTGGAACGGGAAAAATCGCGATCTTGAGCGTGAACGTTATGAGTGCTTAGTGGAACGTACTCTAAGAGTGCGTTCCACTAAGCGCTCATAATGCTCAAAATATGCCTTCGGTCGTTCCACATGACGATCGCGGACGTTGTGGTCGCGGCGAAAACGTCACTAATTACGTCATTATTTTCGCTCACGCCGAGCTCACAACGACCCATCTGAATATTAGGATCGAAGTGGACGTTGTGGAATTTTGGCGCAATTTTTAAAACTTAGACAAAAGACTTAACATAAAAATTTTCATAGATTCTCATAGCCAATAATACGTGGCCTAAGTTTTCGCTTTTTACGATCGCGATTTTGTAAAATTGCATTCCACTATTTGTCTGAACTAGATGAAGAAGTTTCAGACACATTCCGATGCACCAAATATCCAACTGTCGCCAAAGACATTTTGATTTCTTTTTTTTGAGACAGATTTTTTGAATTTTCTTCTGTGATTTTGACTATTATTGACTATTTACATCTTATTTACATACATTGACAGGATTGACGCTTAAAAGGCCCCATAACCCATTCCACTTGAGTTTATGATTGTAACGCTCGCAAGCAAGTGGAACGGAAAAAATCGCGATCTTGAGCGTGAACGTTATGAGTGCTCAGTGGAACATACTCTAAAAGGAGTCGTTCACACTGAGTCGTTCAATTGAACGATGACGCTCCAACAAACGGCTGCCGTGCCGTGCAGTCGTAGACGGATTAAATAAAAGATGTACGTGTATGTTTAGTTTAATATAAAAATAATAACACATGACGTACCGTATGATCAAAATAAATGGCGTCCACTTGGCTTGGAAATGACGATCGATGACATTTCCAACATAATTTTACATATAAAATGACAGCGATCTTCATTTCGTAGCCATCGTTGACGCCGTTTTTATTCGATCATATGGTATTTTTAAGTCATATAGTTAATTTCAAGATAATTAATTAACGCAAAAATGTTACACAAATGGCTGCCGTGACGTCATCACTTACGCGGTCCATTTAAAAAGAACACCTGCATCAAAATGAGACGGCGGACCGGACGGCTCGGCTCCTCGGCTCTCGGCTCCCTGTTTACATGCTGCTTGGTACCGATTTTGTCTCTGACACTGACCGATAGAGGTGGGTTGTGAAATCGCAGTCCGCTACTTTGTCACAGCTCCACCAACGTCGCAGTATGTGACTGCTCCAGTTCCAAGAAAATCGCAGTGACATTTCGGAGCAGTTTACAAGTTTAGGACATCTGCGCCATATCTGCGCTCGTGAGTAGCAATAGGAGCAATAGCAGGCAATAGTGTAAATTCTGAAAATGCTCCTAGCCCCGTCGCCCGGTCAGACTGTTCCAGTCACAGTCGTCGCAGGTCGCAGTCGACTGGAGCATAGTATATTGAGTATATTCTGTGTACTGGAGCTGTTGGGAGTTTGGGAACGGGAAACGTAGCAGCGTTCGCTTTTTCTTTCATGAATCTAAATAAGATATTTATGTATTATATATTAATCACAAACAGATGTTTTTGACAAAGGTAATTTTTAACTTGTTAGTATGTTTATTTGTTAGTTAATTTTGTATCTGTGTTTTGTTGTATATCCTAAATCTTTTATTTGATCTTATACATTCATATAAGTTTTATTATTTATATCTATTTTTAAGGTCTGATGATGGCTAAATAGCCGAAACCGGTCACTAATAAAGATTTTTTTGACAGTTTCGACTTTGAATTGAATATAACATTAAGTTTTTACCATGGGCCACCACTCTGTGAAAATGAACAGACTCTTTAAGATATTTATAGCAAAGTGCTTGGTACTTAGAAACACTCAAATTCTTCTGAATAGACTAAAAAAATATAGCAACATCTATCAAACTAAGACATCAGTATAGTACCGTACAGCCGCGATTTTAAGAGCTCTAGGGGCCCGTAGTTCGGAAAAGTTCGAATCTTGTTCGCAAGGGCCCGGGAGGCTTGGGGCCCGTCGGTGACTTACCCCGATTGCACAGACGTTAAAATCGCCACTACTGATCGAAATAAAAAACGGCGTCCAGTTGGCTTGGAAATGACAATCGATAACATTCCCCATAAATTTTACATATAAAATGCCAGCAATCTTCATTTCATAGCTATCGCTGACGCCGTTTTTTTCGATCATACGATATAAATAAATAAAAAACTAGACGATGATGTTGCCTATCATAATCACACCTATAGTCCTGTACTTTTTTAGTAAATGCAACGAACGGTGCCGAACATTGAGGTGCGATTTTGGAGCAATTAACCTATAAAACTACATTTTTAATTTATAGGTTAATTGCTCCGAAAAATCGCTGCTACTTGTCACAGTGCTTTTATTGGAGCAGTCGCAGAGCGTAGCAGCTCCACAAAAATCGCAGACTGGCCCACCTCTTCTACTGACCGAACGCCGCGCCGCCATGTAAATGCATTCGGAACCCGGCTGCGGCGACACGCGTCTGTGTCAGTTTCAGCTCGCTCTTTTGTTTGTTATCTGTAGCTCGCTCTGCGGCGATTGAACGATGAACGAGCCAGGCCTTCTATTAAAAGATCAGCCTACGGGCGAGATATATGACGTCACGCTAGTTAGATATAACGGATTAATAAATATGTTGTAGAATAGATGGAAAACATAATTATTCCTCAGATTTTTGGTTTGTATTTTAAAAATGATATAGTTTACATGAAATATACATAATATACAGTTAATAACTACAACATATATACCTATTTATAGTAATAAATACTTTGGCAAATAAACTATGAACCATACAAATGCAGCAAATGTTTTACGATGTACAAATAGTGTATAGGTACATAACATAATGGGTAAAATGTAAATATATTTTAAATTTTGGGGTTTGAAAATCGATCTAATTTAACAAAAAACATTCAATATCTAATAATAGTGATGTATTATTATTTGCATTCACAAAATTTATATGTATATCTTGCAAGTATCAATCTTCGAAAAATTATATTTACAAATAATACAATATTATCTAAAAAAGGCGTCAGCGATGGCTATGAAATGAAGATCGCTGGCATTTTATATGTAAAATTATTCTAAAATTTTTGATTTTCTTGGGATTTTTAGGTTCGGGAAAAACGCTGATTTAAGTTTTCATTTGGGTTTTCATTATTTTTATTTGGTTTAAAAAAACGTTTCGGCTAACTATAGCCTTCATCAGTGTTGTGTCATATGAGAAAAATAGTGTCGAATATAATCCAAAAAATTACATATACAATATAATTCACACCTCATAATATTTACTGCAATTAATAAACTAATATAAACTAATCAAAACATGACCACATATTTTTTAAAATTATTATTCTTAACACTAAAATTATCTACATTGACTATGGAGTACGCAGTACGCAGTAAACATTATGTGCGTGGTATGAATATTTTATATGTAATTTTTTGGATTATATTCGACACTATTTTTTTCATATGACACAACACTGATGAAGGCTATAATGTTAGCCGAACCGTTTTTTTTTTAAACCAAATAAAAATAATGAAAAACCAAATGAAAACTTAATCAGCGTTTTTCCCGAACCTAAATCCCAAGAAAATCAAAAAATTTAGTATATTTAGAAACAAGATTCAAGAATATCAAATTTTCCAAGATTGTAAAATTCTAGTTAATTATTTTATGTGTACAGTTATTTAGGGAATGTCATCGATGTTCATTTCCAAGCCAACTAGACGCCGATTTTTTTCGATGATACGGTATAATTCTTACGTAAAATGTAAATAACATTAGACCAATTAAAACAAAGAAATATGAATTTCTTAGTATTTTTAGTAACACGGTAACACCTTTATTCTTAAAACTTAATTTTGTATTATGCAAATATACCAATTTTATTGTTATTTTATTCAGCCATCACTTACATATTTGATATTAATTTGGTATTATAAATAATCAACACTATTCATTAAAAATTACTGAACAAATATATCATGGTACAAAGAATACAAGGTATGATATTGCGCAGGTTGGTCGCTACGTCACAGGTGATAACGGGCGCTATTGGTCAGCACGCTCCGCGCGCCAGTTCAAATCGTCAAGATATTGTTATAAACCTGTTTTTTTTGTTTATATACCGTCATTGAATTATCGCTAAGCAAGTTACTGTGGAGCAGTGCATAAGGAGTCGGGCTAGGAAGCGAGAGACCGGAGTTCGAATCTCGGCCGGGACATAACTTTTTATTTATTTTTTTAAATACTGTTGTATTCTATAGGTTATATTTTTGTAGTATAAAAAAAAAGAACTATTTATTCTGTTATTTTTTAATCTCCGGTATTAATATAAATTGATTGTTGGTACAATACCTCATTTAATATAAAATAATATTCTACTTTTTGAAATGTATCGGGCCCTAATTGTACCTAAAAGTAATATATTTTTAGTGATATACCATATTGTAAACTATTTAATATTTCAGTCACTTAAAAAGTTAATTTGCATTGAATAATTGCCTACCATTAAAGGAAATTTGAGCTATATAATCCTTGATGGGCATATTCTGGGTATGCAAATACTTCCTTTAAATTTTGGGTGTCGTTCAACCGATTTATTCTCAAAACCAGAAACTTCTACATATAAAAAGAAGCAGAGGTCACTAATTATAATAAACTTCACCCTTGGTATTACTTCCACTAATTATAATAAACTTCACCCTTAGAATTACTTCTATCACAATTACAATACGTTCATCTGCATTGGCATTTTCTACTTTTCGATGGGAAACAATAAACTTCCCAATATTTTTTAAATGATGTAACAATTCCTCTTGTGGTTACTTTTCCATAGATATCCTCAACTCTGTCCTCATGTGAATTCAGAGGCAATGAAAATGAAAATTATTTACCATAAACATCGCAAACTAAAAACCTAATAAACAATTTTATACCGAATATAGAAATAAATTCAGTATTCTTACCTATCGTCCAAATCCATGTTAATAGATAATTATTATTTTTAAATATATTTTTGGAACTGCTGGTTTTAGTAATTATTAAATTAAACGAACTAAAATGTCTTAAAAATAAACAATTCTTAACCATAACCCCAAAAATGCAGATCTCCTGTCAACTTTCTTTATTTTTTATTTATTCATTATTTTCCTAGTGACGTCACAGGTGGTATGCGCGAACTGAACAAAATTGGAGCCGCTATCGATCATACCTTTTATTCTTTGTACCATGCAAATATATGTTAAGCTTGACAACTTGACATATATTATATTATATTATCAAACAAAAACACATTCTTCTTTTAAAATATATCAGTCTTGTCTTTACAAAAATCTTTTTTAAAATTTGAACTCAAAATAATAATCTTTTTCATGATCTTTAATACACATATTCTTTATTTTTCCCTAGATCATAATACCTAGGTACTTACGTGTTTGAATCTATCGAAGCTGGACCAACAACACTTGGAGTGGAGATTCCACAATATGAATAAAATAAACATAATTGTCCAGTTTTCATTAATACCATCATGGGAGAATATTATTTTTAAATTTATTAAAGATATTTTCAATAGAATTCTCTTGATTTATAACTCGTACCCACTTTTCTTGCTCTTCCGGACACTTTAGGCTGCTTAGTATAACTATCCTTTCCACCAGGAACACAACAAAGATGAGGCATAGCACCAAAAACACACTCCACTTAAGCTTTATTGATGAATTGTTAAAGTCTTAAAAAACACATCGTTGTATCACGATGAGTAAAAAATGTATGGGCACTTTTAGGTTAAATCACTTACACAACGTGTACTTTTTCAATTTTTCCATTTTTTTATGCGTAACCGAGAGTGACCATAAATCTGGTAGTAGTTTATGTCACTTAAACACCAAAATAATTAGTTTTTTGCACTACAATAATAAATAATACCAAAAATCATAGAGTTAAAACCAAAAATCAACCGACAAAATATGAAACGGAATCTAACCCAATATCTAAGTATGTACAGCTGATGAAGTAAACAAAAGTCCGCCCCCCAGGCTGATCTTTTAAAAGACACGGAATATTGCCTGGAATATTGTAAATACATGTTATACATGTTTTTCTTAACTTTTACGCTTACAAAGAGGTTTTCTTGATTTTTTGTGCTTAAACTAGGTCAATCCACATCTATATAATGTAGTAAAGTGCTAATATTTGTTGTTTCTACCTAATCTGTATGGAAAATTTAACGTTTTTAGTGTCCGTAATATCGATTGGAACCCAAAGTAGCCCCGTCGATAGCCCTGGTGCGTTAACTTTTGACTCTGCTTAGTGCTTTTGACTTTTTTATTTTACGGATTTTACTTCTTGTGTATGTGTTTTGTGGATTTTACTTTACTAAAATGTCGTCTGATTTAATTTCCTGGTAATATGTGGTTCTTTCAGATAAAATTAATGATCAACTATTTATATTTTATTTTAGGAAAACTTTAAATGTTAATACTAAAATTAAAACGTCTTTTTCGGAGGCGGTACAAGAACATCCCCTTAAAAATATTGTGGTAAATATTAAATAGTTCAAAATTTATCGAGCTCTCACTGAAAATTAACTTTTCTAGGTCACTGAAAGAATTCCAAGACGGATTCTAGGTTCAACACCAAGTACTGGAAGGACTACACCTGTCTCGACTCCTTCCAACATATCAGAGCCTCTTGCTAATGCTTTAAAACAATTGGATCCTTTAACTGAATTTGCTATGCATGAAGAAATGGATCCATTGTCAAAAATAGCTGCAGAAATGGTAAAAACCATTTTTTCAAAAGTAAAATATTTTGATTTTATGAAATGTTTATTTTTTATTTAAAGGATTTGACAGATAGTTGCATCAGAACTGTTAATGAAGGGAATAAAAAGAAAGATGAAAAACTTTTTAACAAAACTGATTTGTGGTCTTATAGAAGGGCTGCTATATTACAAAAATACACAACTTCTGAAAAATTGACAATGGTCATAAGCTACTTGATAGAAGGGGAAAAAGGTAAATATTAATGCTATTGAAAATATTATATTTTATGCTATAGTTTGCTTATAGTTGTTGTAAAAGCCCAAAGTACAGCAGTGGACAAGGTACAACATCGCTTAGAACAGTTAGATAGCTTCGAAGAAGGTTCCCAAAGAAAATTAAATTTGTCTCAGACAGAATATATATCTCAAATTGAGGAACTAAATAAGTAAGGGTTGATATTTGGTTCAAAATTAAAACAAATAGGTATATAATATGTGCTGTAGGGAGCTTATAATGGTGTGGAATAATGAACAGAGAGTCAAGGCATTAAAAATAGCTATACAGTGTGCCAAAATGCTGACAGATACAGATGTATTAATATTCTATCCGAGCAAATTTGTTCTTGTGACAGACATACTAGATTGCTTTGGGAAATTAGTTTATGACAGGCTCAGGATCAAGGCTGAATATTACAAGTAAAGAATTACTATTTATTAAAACATTAAAAACATCTTAAAATATTTTCTACATATAGACCTGGTTCTAAAGTTCCTACAGCACTTCCAGAGGACTTCACACCTGATATGGTACCCAGTACTGCAAAAGAGACTTGTTTGAACTGGTTCTATAAAATAGCCTCCATCAGAGAGCTAGTTCCCCGATTGTACATTGAAATGGCCTTGTTGAGGTCCTATTATTTTATATCTTCCAGGTAGGAGGTCAAATTTATTTTTGTTATTAGTAGATTAGAAATGTTAATTATATTTTAGCGATTGCACTGAGGCACTATTTAGACTTACTAAAATGATTCAAGGAATAGGCAACCCTGTTGTGGCTGTTTATGCCAGATGCTACTTGTGTAGAGTTGGTCTAAATGTGACGATAAAAGATTCTAATTTGACATATTTGAGAGAAAATTTTGATAGTTTTTTAGAATCATATCAACATGTAACTATTTAATTAGAAATGGTCTATTGCTAACAAACTGTCATAGATTTTCAGGAGTGTTAAAGGTCAATTACATAAAGAAAAAATGTCTCTTTCTACATATATGACTTTATATGCACCAGCTTTGGATTTTATCATGGAAACAGTTACTTTACACTCTCCAGAGAGTACATTGAATGAAATTTTAGCAAATTGTAAACGGTATAGCAACAGTTCTTTGATTCTAAACACCATAATGTCTGGATTTAAGCCTGCTTACGTATCAGAAAGATGTTTGCAGTTTCTTAGTATGATTGGACAGTGTACAGATGATGGTAACTACTATTTTTTTTTGTTATTTTCTACAATTGTTTTATACTTTCCATAGGAATACCATTATCTGCTTTATTAAGAACTTTGGGTTTATGTGTAAGCGTTTCTCCTCCACTGAAGGAACATAGAGCCCAAATTTTAAATTCAGTATATCTCAATATGAATTTATTAAAAAACCCATCTGAGTATATTACTTGTTTCGAAGTTTGGATTCAATTTGTTGCCAAGTATTTTTCAGTAAGTACAAGAAAATAAATAAATCTCATTGAAATATTTGTTTGATTATGCAATTTACCAGACTAAAGAAGTTGACAGTCTGTTGGGCGACTTTTTATATCGTATGATTAAGAATGAGGAACAAATAACTTATTCTGTTGAGTTACAAAACATCATGGATAAAATAATAACAAATATATCTGATATTGAAAGTTTTCTGGTTATGGTGAGGTATTTTTGTAGTAATTTCTTGTAATTGTTTTAATACATATATGCATATGCAATTTTAGGATCATTTTTTTGCTGTTATGGATTTATTTGAGGATAAGTCTAGATTGATTGAAGTGAGCAAGGTTATTCTGTGTAAATATAACGCTACCGTCCATCAAACTGACGATCCCGTTGTAACAAATGTTTTGATGTATTTGGCGAGCAATTTACACGATTCAATTAATATGTTGACGCCAGAAGACGAAAAACGGTAATATATATATTTTGTACTTTTGGGTACGTAATGAGTTATTATTATTATTATTATTTACACAATAGAAATCGGTATAAAAATACCGATGAGTCTACTGTCTTTTTATGTTGCGCGTAATTTTTTCGAGTTTACTGGCCATAACGCAAATGTACAGTACTCAACATATTCATTTCTTGATCAATTTTGTTTTTAAATGAGTTGAGAGTTGGTACTGAAACACTTTCTTCTGACAGAGAGTTCCACGGGTACACTATGCGGTTAGTCAAAAAATTTTTTCGCTGGAGTTTGGACGATCTTTCCTTTTCTAGGTGTCTGCTGTGGCCTCTAAGTTGTGGAGTTTGGCAAGGATGGTATATATTTAATGGGCAAGTATAGAAACAATTTAGAATTTTGTAAGTCTCTATCAAGTCCCCCCGCAAACGCCTCTGTTTTAATGTGGTGAGATTTAACATCGCAGGACGATCTTCATACTCCAGATCCTTAAGTTCATGGGGCATTTTTGTCACCTTGCGTTGAATTTTCTCAATGAGATCAATATCCTTCTGAAAATAGGTACTCCATATTATTTGACCATATTCTATTTTGGGTCTAATGTAGGACTTGTATATCTTTAAAATAAGATCAATAGAGTGGTCTTGAAATGCTCTTTGAATGAAATAAAGAAGAGAATTTGCTTTTAGTAATCTTTGATATATGCACATACCATTTTAGATTTCCAGTAACTATATTCCCTAGATCTTCCTGTTGTTCTACATGTCTTAGACTTAGTTCATTTAGGGTGTAGGTTTTGTGCGTACAATTCATTCCAATGCTAAGAATAGTGCATTTGTCCTCATTCAGCTTCATTCTCCATTGTTTGGCCCCGGATGTCACCAACTTTAGATCATGCTGAAGATTGACGTAGCTCGTTTCGGGATTTGCACATAACTTTGTATCATCCGCAAAAAATATGATATTCGTTTTTATGCCTCTTGCCAGATTGCTGATATACAGGAGGAACAACAGTGGGCCCAACACAGAGCCTTGAGGAACACCGCTGGTCACTTTGTGTTTAGTTGAAAGAGATCCGTTTATTCTGACTTGGAAGTAGCGTCTGGTTAGGAAGTTTGAATAAATTCCCTCTTATGCCGTAGTGGTTTAGTTTATAAAGAAGCATCTTGTGGGGTACTTTATCAAATGCTTTTTCAAAGTCAAGATAGATGACGTCTGTTTGTTGGTTTCTATCAAAGGCTGCTGTCCAATCGCTAAGACAAGATGTCATGTTTGTTATTGTGGATCGACCAGGAAGAAATCCATGCTGTGTGCTGGGTAAGACATCTTTTTCCATTAGGTATGGAGTAAGTGTGCGGATGATTACCTTTTCCATGCATTTACAGACGCAGCTAGTTCTAATTGGTCGGTAATTACCAGCTAACCGTCTGTCTCCCTTTTTGTGAAGCAGTGTAACGAAAGAAAGAGACCAAGTATCTGGAAATTTGCCAGATAATAGTAAATCATTAAATAAACACGCTAAAGGTTGTGCGAGGGTATGACAACATTTCTGAAGAAAAACAGTCGGTACACTATCTGGACCCGGGCTGCTGTCAGTTTTTAATGATTTTATGACTTCGCTAACGTTGAGCTCTGTAAATTCTATGTTAGTAATCTCTTGCAGGAGCCTAGAACTCTGTGGAAGCGTTGGAATGTAAGAGTCATTGGTTGTCGTAAAAGCTGATGCAAACTGGTGTGCAAATTCCTCAGCAATGTCACAGTCGTCCATGATAGGTAATCCATTGTTGGGGTTTTTAAGAGTGAAACTGGATACTTTTGTATACAGAGTCCTATTAATATATTTAAAAAATTGTTTTGGTGAGCTGGAAGAGGCGATAGATTTCGTAGTTTTGTCTAGCACTTGCGATTATGTTTTTTAGAGTGTTGTTTTCCGTCCTGTATGCAGTATAGTTTTCGGGTGTTGGCGATTTAATATATTTATCCCATAATTTACGTTTGTTAGTAATTTTTTTTAAATATTCTGATTTATCCATGGTTTTTTAGAATTGATTATTTTTGTTGTAAATGGGACAAATTTTGTAATAGCTTCGTCAATAATTTTGGTGATTTTTTCATATCTGTTTTCTTCCAAATGTGAAGGGTCAAAATTCAAGTTTTCTGCAAGAAATACATTTATTTGTTCATAGTTGGCTTTCCAAAAGTTTTGTTTTAGCATTTTATTGGTAGATCTAGTTGGATATTCGAGTTGCGTTTTTCCAGTAATAACCAAATGGTTACTGCGGCCCAATGGTGGATCACTTTCTATGTTGTAAATCAGTTTCTTATTATTTACTAGAAACAAATCCAGAAGCGCATTCTGATCACCCGAACTCACTGAAACGTGTGGAAAAATCTATTATTTGATAAATATTCGTTTCATTAAAGCTGTCCAAAAACAGTTGATTTAGTTTCTCAGTTCTATATAATGTTTTATTGTTCCAATTGATTTCAGTATAATTGAAGTCTCCAGTGACATAGACTGGTACGTCCTCTGCACACACCTCAGCTAATACATTTATCATATTCCTGTCTGATTCTTCGTTCGAGTGTGGTGGCCTATATATACATGCCACAATATACCTTAAACCAGCAATTTTGATGTTCAGCCATACTGATTCAATAGGACTTATGGTTCTATATTTTTTGGATACACTAGAGTATATTTTCTGTCCATTCACTTGTTCCTTTACAAAAACACACACTCCACCGCCTCTTTGTTGATTGCGGTCTTCCCTAAAAATATAACCATTGATATCTATCAGACTGTTTCTAATGTCAGCATTCAACCAGGTTTCAGTTATTAATATGCATAGAGGATCGTGTTTTTTAATTGAGATAAAGAATTCGTCGACCTTATTTACTATGGAACATACATTGCTATACCAGAACGACGCCTCTAGAATTTGTTTATTTAGTTTTTTGAGTTGTACTCTGATTAACTTTTACAAGCTTTGGTGTAAAATCAAAACCTTGATATCTAATTTTATAATTGTTTCTTCCTTCCTTGGTATGTTGTTCCAATTCCTGCAGGAGTTTTTTGAGATGGTTTCTTTGCATTGGTGTTTGGTCTCTCTTTATATATATTCCATCATTGTTCTGAAGTTTGCTTTTTTGCTTCAAAATCGCCAAAACCGTCTACTTGTCTTCAAACTGGACTTTTATTGGTCTTTTTTTATTGTGATCAATTTTTCCCAAACGATACATTTTAATGTTTTCTTTCGAAATATTTAGCTTAATGGGCTTAAGTATTTCAACTACTGCTTCCGCGTCTGGATTCTGATTTTCAGTATCGGTCTCAGGTTCAGAAATACCAAATATAACAAGATTGTTTAGACGCTTTTCTCTCTCGTGTATTTCCTCTATAGTGGGTGCGATATTATCTTCCCTTCCAAGATTTATCTCACCTTTAGTGATATTTTCCAGTTTTTCCTCCAGTTTCTGGAAATTTCCATGAAGAGCGTTTGATTCATTTTTTATTTTTACTATGTCGGCAAACGACTGCTTGGATTGAATTGATTTTTCCTTTAGTTCATTTATTTCCGCTTGCAAGTCAGCAACCTTAGCTTTTATCGAAGGTAACTCTCGAACTACAGTTATGCAACCTGTACAGAAATAAGGGAGCACTCTGGATATCATTGACAGCGCCCGTATCTCAGTTGAAGAAAATCCTGCACAATTTCTGCACAATATTTGCACATATCGCATGGATAGTCAAAAAGATCACTTTTAGTTTCTTTAAAAATACAAGCGGCACTACATTTCGAACAAGATCCAGTCATACTTCTTTATATTTTTTGTCCTCTGTTGTAAAAATAACCCGAACGCGGCATTTTATGAGTTGTTTGGAATTCCGTTTTATTGCAAGTTTTTTTATTATTTGGTTGATTTTTTGTTTAGATTTATTTGCAATTTAATATAATATAAATGCACTTTTCCACAAGTAGGCACCGTTATTAAGAACTAAACTTTATTCCAATCAGTTCAAAAAGTAACACAATCTATTTGACGCGAAAATCGCGAAAAAATACGCACGGAAAATGTCCAATAACAGTCCAAATACCGGGAGTAAACTTGACACGCAGCTATCTCGTTCGATGTCGTATATTTGATAGTCTATAAGTAGTTCTAGTTCTTATAAGTTGTTAATTATTTTAAAAAATATTGCCATAGAAAAAGAAAATAAAACATACATAGTATAATATTAAGGCCTTACAGTCATGCCTACACCAAAAATATACAATTATACAAGCTTACACAGGTAAGCAAGAATACCAGTTTGCCTATTGAAACTTAAAATATTTTTATTAAAAATCAATTTAATTGTCTGCTGATCATGCTAACGTAGTGAAACGCATGTCCAATTTTCCACTGACTTTCTTTTGATATCAAAATTTTGTAGGGCGTTTAATGCCAATTAAAAGTTCTTCCTCTTACAGTGCCATACTCTATATAGAGCGTCGGCTACCTCTCGCATGTACTTGTGATGTGTGTCATCAGTGTTTCACAAGTACACGGAACCAACAGTTTATTGCCGAATCCGAACGGCACTATTTGAGAGGCTGTACAAGGCAAATATACTCAAGGTGATTTGCCATTGTCTTCCTTGAGGTGGCGGCTCGTTGGTCGCTCTATTTAGATAAATAAATATTTTTATTTAAATAAATAAAGCGACCGTACTGGCTGGGAACCGAACCCAGTACCTTCCGCTCCGCAGATCGACACACACGCTGGAGCTACGGCCGGCCACAATTAAAAGTTATCCCTTGATATTTTGTCGAATTCGGCCTCCTTGATGAGATAAACACAATTTTATTAATCAAAATTAACCCTCAACTGGCATGGTGGGGTCTAGCGGACCCCAATCACTATTTAAACCTCTGTAAAATGTTTACATTTAAGAATTAGGCCTCGCCGCGCCATTTACCTTTATGTTAGGGTACCAATATGCAACTGTTAAAGGCGCACTTGATTTTATCAAGTATTCTTACGAGCGGGGGTTAAAGTTTCATTGGGGTCTGTGTGGCACCACCACGCCAAGAGTGTTTCATTATTAGGATGGTGAGTAGTCTAAAAAGTGTGCTTCACTGGGACGCTAATTTTGAGGAAGCATTAATTGAGTGGTTTGATAAATTTAAAGAGGCTTAAGTGATATGAAGATCATCGAGACTTTTTTCTCCGAAGAGTAACCTTAACTCCGATTCTGAATCTCTTACTTATAGAAGAGAGAAAATTGAATAATCAATGCCAGAAAAGAATGAGATGTAGTATATGTCAACCATATGTCAACGAAGAAATGATAAAAAATGCAGATCAAAACAGCAAATGCAGATCCCATATTAGCATGAACTGTATTTGAAAAAGTTATGTACATTCAAGGTTTGCAGTTTTGTTGAAAATAATTTATGTTTATTACTTTAGCTTCACATTTCAGTAGTTTGTACAGCTGGTTCCAAAAAAAATGAATACGACTCTTTACACATTTTTTTCGAATATTTGGGCAGTGTATATTTATGTGTCAAGTATTTTGACATGTTAAGGTTATTGTGACATTGTATAAAACAACTTTTCTTTTGACAAAGTGGCAAATAAATTTTTCAGAACGTCAGCATGACATGAGTAGGAAATGGGGGACGTATCATAGAATATACTGCCCGAAATAATAAAAATATGTTTTAAATTGTATTCAATTTTATTGGAACCAGCTGTACTTTTAATAATACGGTAAAATCATAATAACATATACATGTTTTTAATTTCAATGGGTTTCTTAACCAAGTTATATTTCAGCAAAAAAGCTATAAAATATTAAATTTGATTTTTTTATTTACTCGTAACAATATTATTGACAATGCCGCATGAAAGTTATTTCATAGCTTACTACAGTTATCACACTTATTACTTATTAGAGCACATCTGTATGTGCTTTGGCACTAAATTAAAATAAATTACATTTGAATTAAATTAAACAACATTGCGCCTAATAGATACATGGTAACTGTACTCCTTATATGCCCACTAACAAATGTACAGTACCATCAACTCATATTGTTTATAAAGGGGATATTAGTAATTCAATACAAATTTTCAACCCCTGTCGATAGTTACCGCATAAGTTACCGTACTCATCTGTAACGGCTTGACCGATTTTGATGAAGTTTTATATGTACAGTGAAAACACTGTATAAAAATATATAGAATTATACAGGGTGTCCCCAAAAAAATTACACATCAGAGTTGTGTTTTTTCTAACGGAACACCCTATATATTAATTGATTTTCGGATTCTAGGATAAAAATAAATGTGAGTTTTATTAAAGAAGCATATACCTAAAATTTAAGGATTTTGACATATTTCACATTCTGTGAAAATGAAAAGTAAATTTTAAATTTCGATAACAGCTACCTAAATTTTAGTTGACCTTGTATAGCCTGATATTTAATTACAGTAACCATTGTATGTTAAACCAAATTGAATTTGGCCCGAAAAGTTATACAGGGTGAGACAAAATTAATATGGAACATTAGTTACTTTTAAAAGCAAGTTACTCCTTTATTTTAAATGGCAAACAAAACACCTAGTATATTATTCCGGTGTTCAATAGGGAATTTATATACTTTCAAAATACTATTAAGGTTGCCTACCACTCAGACAAAGATCTTTATTATTTGAAAAAATCGAGGGTGGCTGTGATATACCTTTTGTTAATTTAACAAAAAATAAAGATTGTACGGTAAAATACTGAACGGTAATTAAAAGATATACGTTTAAAACATATTTTAATTATTACAGAATTTTCCCATTTAAAAGATTTGATGAGATCTTTGGTCCGATTAGCCACATGTGGAGGGCATTGTCATGCAGCAAAACAATACCCATACTCAACTTGCCACGTCTTTTGTTTTGGATTGCACGGCGCAGATTGTTCAATGTCTCACAATAAGATGCTGCATTGATTGTCTCATTACGAGGCAGAAACTCCACTAGCAATACTCCTTTTCTGTCCCAAAAAACTGTGCACATGATTTTCCGGGCAGAAATTGTTTGCTTAAACTTCACTGTTTTGGGTGATGATGAATGTCGCCATTCCATGGACTGTTGTTTCGATTCTGGTGTGAGTAGGCCACCCATGTTTCGTCACCAGTAACAATTTTGTCTAAAAAATCTTCACCTTCATTGTGGTACTGCTCAAGGAAAGTCAATGCATTGCCTAAACGTTGGGTTTTGTGCAAATCCGTCAACATTTTCGGAACCCAACGTGAACACAATTTCCGGTAATTCAAGTTCACGGTCACAATGCGATACAAAACACTACGAGAACATTGAGGAAAGTAGTCGCACAATGATGAAATTGTAAAGCGTCTGTTTTCTTTCACCTTTTCGTCCACTTTCTGCACCAAATCTTTATTAACGACCGAAGGACGCCCACTCCGTTTTTCATCATGCACATTTGTGCGGCCATCTTTAAATGCTCTCACCCATTTCCTTACCATTCCATCACTCATAGTGTTTTGTCCGTAAACTTCACAGATCTCACGATGAATATCGATCGGTTTTACGCCTTTAGCACTAAGAAATCGTATGACAGCCCGTACTTCACAATCGGCGGGGCTCACGATTGTCGGAGGCATCTTAAATACTCAATAAACAACGTATACAATGAAGAATCAGACTGTACTGGCGTCTGTGCATAGACAAGAGATGTAGGTAACCAGCGCGCATGCGCGGAACGCCGACCGTAGCGCTGCGGCGGCGGAATCGCAAAACGGTACTTACTTAAAAAACATGCCTCGTATATGTGGAGTTCTACCTCGAAAAGCAGCTACAATAATTTCTCTCATGTTGTCGACAATAGTTGGTCAAGTTTTGTAAACTTCTGTCTTTAACATATCCCCATAAAAACCCGACTAGATAAAATCTGGAGCATTTAAGTATTCGATTAATTGGTAAATGCACACTGCATTCACCAACTCATAGAATCATATCAATTCTTTCTGATGTAGGATAAGTTTGCATTTTCGGCAAATTTCTGAGAAATTTTTTTGTGTGTTTTAACTGACACAAAATGATAACTAGTCGTTAAAGTTGGGCTAATTAGACAGCTATGTTGAAGTAACGTCAGACATATCACAGCCACCTAGATTTTATCAAATAATAAAGATCTACTCAGATCAAATCATGTAAATGAAAATATCTAGGAAAATCTTTGTTTGAGGGGTAGGCAACCTTAATAGTATTTTGAAGAGACATGGATTCTCCATTAAATATCGGAATAATATACTGGGTGTTCCATTTAAAATAAAAGAGTAACATACTTTTGAAGGTGACCAATGTTCAATATTAATTTTGTCTCACCCTGTATAACCTTTTGGATCAAGTTTTAATTTGATTTAAAGTACAATTAGGTTATACCGGGTAAATTCCAATTTAGGTAGCTTTTATTGTAATTTAAAAATTGTTCTTTATTTCTAGAAAATTTTAGTCATATACTTCTCTTAAAAAACTCACTTTTATTTTTCTCCCAGAATCCGAAAATCAATTCATATATAGGGTGTTCCATTACAAAAAACAACTTTGATTTGTAACTTTTTTGAAAGACACCCTGTAGAACTCTCTATATTTTTGAAAAGTGCTCTGAATTAACCTACATATGCTCACAAAATTTCATTTCAATACAAACTGTCGTTCTCTTTGGAGCCTCCGCGGCGTATGAAAGGCGCCACTAGGGGCGTATATTCAGATAGTATATATACATATATAGGTAGATAGTAGGTCTGATAATTGGCTGTTTTTTATACCCCTAAGTTTATTTTTTGGACAAAATTTTTTATTTTTTTTTATGATGTGGCATTAAAAAATACATACAACCCTAAATTCTCACCTTTCTATCATCAACCCCTATTTCTTAATAGCGATATTAGTAAATCAATAATTTTCAACCCCGGTCGATAACTGATCAATTATCACTTGATCAGTTATCCCCGCCAGGCGTCTACCGGTATCACTTCTGACCCAGTCAACAGCACGGAGTAGGGATGAGATTAATCCTAGGAATCTATTTAGTTTTTAAATTTATATAGCAAAACAACGTTTGCCCGGTCAGCTATAATTCAAGCGCGAAATTCAAGTTCTTCGTCTACTGTCGCCTATGTATTATCAACTCATTACTATTATCTACTCATCTTCATACTCCATACTAATAACAATATTATTTCTAGACAAATATCACAGATTTTATGCAAAACCATCAGAATCGTAAACTATGGACTTGATTTCGATTTACAGTTAGATCTGTATGTAGAAGCCAGACATGCATTTTGCATCTTGGACACTGTTATTGCTGAACTAGTGAAGGTGGGCCTATTTTTGTCTTATTTTATTTTATTTATTAACAGGAGACCTATTTTAGTGTGTGAACAATTTGGCAGTGAGTGTCAGACAAGTGGTTAAAGGGTACCACACACGTAAAACGGCGGATTTCGTGCGTGCTTGTGCGGCATACTGTTTTATAACCATCCCGTCTATCAACTGCACTCGCACCAGGTTGAAATTATATTTGTTTTCGGGTCAGATTGCTTTGTATAATTCGTGTCTAGGACAAGGTAAGTTTTGTTCCTCAAAATTAATCAAAAAGCTTACGAAATTGTTCAAGATAAATACATTATAGCTGACAACGTCTTTAAGCGACGATTTCGACAGACAACATCCAAAAACTTACAGCAAAGACAATCTACTTTTTAACTAAATCGACAGACAACTATCATTTTATTATATTTTACTGACAAATATTGTTTGTTTTATTTCCAGCTGATGCATGTTTTAAGGCTATCCTATCAACTATATCTGAACTGCCATGTAGTACAGATACAGACCTATTTCTACCAGCATTTGTCAGACAGTTTTTGTCACTTTTAATGGTAGTTCCTGACAATCCAGAGCGTGGAGTACTGAGTCTGATTAAAAGTCTTCTAAACACCATAAGAAATTTTAAATGGCAGACTTCGAGCAGTGTCTTAGGATTTTTTTACGTTCACGTGATCGATTTATTGTCAGTAATGGCTCAAGAAGTATATCCATATCATGTAGACAAAGGTACGTCAACAAAGAGTAGTCAATAAATTAAAAATAGAAAATAATCTTTATCTTTGTTTCAGTTGAATCAAATGATTCATTGTGGGGATCCGATCCAAAATTTATTGATGAGATCAACAACATGATAGCAGTTGTCATAGGAGAGATTTTGTTCTTGCTTCAAGACTTGGGTCCCTGCCAGAAACAATATCAGATAGCTATGGAACTGTTTGTAAGGTTTGCAGTAAGAGCAGGTATTATTTTTTCAATAAAACTTATTTTAACGGATTTTTGAAAAGGATGAGCGAGTAAAAAACTAGTTTTACGTATTTTTACGTTTAAGAATACTATGTATGTATATATACAGTGTGTCAATTTTTAAACTTCCCACCCTTAATATCTTTCTTGCAGTTAAAAATATGAAAAATCGGAAAAACACGTCAATTTTATTAGTAAGGGGGGACACTTTAAATGAATATTTTTGGCCTTTTTCTTTCAACCCCTTAGGAGGGGTAGATGTCACACTTGCAATATTAAATGGGAATGGGGTCAAGTGGCACATCGTTTTAAAGGGCATTTAATTCTCTTTTCAGTGGTATCCTACTTTGTTGCTTTTTATCCAGATATTTCCGAATAATCGCGTTTCAAAGTTGCAGAAACAATTAAACATGCCTGCATTGAGATTTTGGTTTTCAGGCTAGTGTTTACACAAAAATTATTGCTGTAGATCTCCTTGTAGTACAAATGACTAGAAGATTAGGTGGCAACAAGGACGTAGCAGCCATTACATTTTTCTAGGAGGTCGAAATTCGAAATACTAATAAACAGAAAACATCATAAACATTAACGTTTCCTTTCTCAAATCCGAATGAGTGGCAACCTCTAATCAGTTTTACAGGAGGATTTGTTAACACTCCAGAGGGGCGGTGCTATAGCTCATTATTTTTTTGCGGTCCGACAGTGGTTAAACGAGAGATTTCCGGGTACATGGATTTGGCAGAAGGAGACCTATTGAATGGTTTTCAAGATCACTTAGACTTTTGTATTTTTGGGCGGGCATCTTAAATCCATTGTTTATAAAACACAACCTACTGATATCGATGATCTTAAATTACAGCAGAATGTCAGTCAATTCCCAGTGAAGTTTTCCGAAATGTTAGGGAGATATTTGAAAACAGACTTTATTACTGTTTACAGGAAAATGGACAACATTTTGAACAACTTATAAGATAGGGCGTAAGTGGTGTAACCTAATCTTCTAATCATTTGTACTACAGGAGATCCATTGCAATAACTTTTGTGTAAACACTAACCTGAAAACTAAAATCTCAATGCAGGCACGTTTAATTGTTTCTGCAACTTTGAAACGCGATTATTCGGAAACCTCTGGATAAAAAGCAATAAAGTAGGATACCACTGAAAAGAGAATTAAACGCCCTTTAAAACTATGTGCCACTCGACCCCCATTCCGATTTAAGATTGTAAAGGTGACATCTACCCCTCCTAGGGGGTTGAAAGAAAAAGGCTAAAAATATTAATTTAAAGCGTCTCCCGTACAAATAAAATTGAGGTGTCTTTCCAATTTTTCATATTTTTAACTGCAAGAAAGATATTAAGGGTGGGAAATTTTAAAATTGACACACTGTATATTAGGGTGCACCAAAAAAAATCTTTTTATTACCGTGAAAACATTGTTCGCGATGATAAAAAAAATTCTGGTAAAGTTTGAGTAGTTTTCGCAAAAAAAATTTTGAAAATGCGGAATTTTTAGGATTTTTTTTTTACTTTTTAGTTAAGATCCAGTGTTTCCAAGTTAAAAAGATCCAGTGGTTCTCAAAATTTTAGCAAAAAATCATTTTTTTTCACATTTCAAAGTAAAATAACTCGGTTATTTTGGACTTAATTGAAAAACGGTAAAGAGAAAATGTTTCTTTTATCGAGATCTATCAGCCCTGAAAATATTCGCACTTATTTAAGACTCACCCTGCATATATATTTTGCACGTAAAAAAATAAGTAAAACTAGTTTGAAAAACCAGTATAAAAGCTAATTAGAACTTCATCAGTTTATAAATATTTCAAGTTTCTTTGTAATATATAATATTGTTACGTTTTTCGTCGGTTCCGTGTGGATAGAAAGTCACAATTTATTTAAACACTATTTATTTAACACTAATTAACAAAAACAATAACGATAAAAGACTTATAGAACTATTTACAAACGATTTATAACTAAGAATTTATTTTGAACTTTAGCGCGTCAACTGTACTGTTTATTTATAACTGCTCCCTGTAGGCCACAGCCGCTGGCTTTTATACCGACAGGTAAAGCACTCTAGAATAGTCCATAGATCGTTAGGTGCGTAGAGAAGGTTTTCGAATGTTCTCGTATGTACTAGTCCATTCCAGTGGGACTCGATTCTTCTCGAACGAATGAATCATTCCGGTGTCTATTCTTTAATGCGATGTTAAGGTCATCTGAGGGCGGGACATATAGTTAGGTTAGGTCGAGTTCACACGGGTCCGCAACACTGCCCCCTTCTTAGGCACATGCTCGTCCCGAGATGTACACGGTGAATGAAGGTATTTGCAAAGCTGGCCCCTGGTACATTGCGAAGTCTGGTAGAAATAGCAGTCTACAGTTTTCTCTCCCGATCTCAGCTTTGGGTTGTAGCAGCAAACGAGGATCTCGATTCCCGTAAATCTGAACAAGACTTCAATCATGTTCCGGATTGTACGCCAACTCAAACCATCGAGTCCACACGCCAGCTTCGGAATGGCTAATCGTGCAATGTTGTTGTTTAGCAGGGCTTCTCTCAGTTCAATCAGGGTCTTCCATAGATTGAGATAAGTCGGCTTACTCGGGGACCATTCCTTGGTGACCAGGTAGAAGATGTGCCTTGCTTGACCATGTGCATTGTCGGTTAGCCTCAAGACGCTTCCAACCTCTGGATCCTGTCGGCGTAGTTCTCCGACACGCCCAAACTTCTCATTGAACGTCGCAGCGATTCCTCTGGACATCCGCAAATCTCGAGCCACACAATGAGCGAGCGAATAATCAGGAGGCACGGAAAAGAGGTCTCGTTGATCTTCTTTGGTTACACCATAGCGAGCCTTCTCACTGCTGTTGTATCGGGCCATGAAATCGTCAAAGGACATCTCCGAATCAGGGGGATCAAAGCTGCAGGTTCTCACGGTCCCAGCACGATCTTCTATTTCGCCTTGGTAGGGGCTCAAACGGTTGAAATGGACTACCCTCGGTTTTCCTTTTGGCAATTTTCTGATACGGTATACGACGTCATTAATTCTATCCATGACTTCGTATGGCCCTTCCCACGAGGATTGTAGCTTCGGAGATAACCCACGACGTCTCTGCGGGTTATATAGCCACACCAACTTCCCTGGTTGGTATCCTCCATGCTCAGCTTGAATGTCGTAGTGTTCCTTCATTCGGTCACTAGCACTTTGAATATTTAGGCGGACTCTCTGATGAATGTCGTCCATCCTTTGACGTAGTGTGTGGACATAATCTTCTCCGGCGACTTCTTCTCCCGGTCGGCAACCAAATTTCAGATCACAGGGTAGGCGCACTTCCCGTCCCATAACGATGCTGGCTGGAGTTTGCCCTGTAGATTCTTGGACGGATGAACGGTAGGCCAACAGGAACAGGTGAAGAAATTTGTCCCAGTCTCTTTGGTGGTCAGAGACTACTTTGGCCAGATAACGGTTGATAGTTCTGTTCATGCGTTCAACCATCCCATCGGATTGTGGATGTAGAGCAGTCGTCCTGGTCTTGCGGATGTTCAGGACTTCACAGACGCCTTGGAACAGATTGGACTCAAAGTTTCTTCCCTGATCTGAATGAAGCTCCATGGGAACACCAAACCTGCAGATCCATTCTTTAACAAGGGCATCAGCAATCGTGGACGCTTCTTGATTTGGCAACGCGTAGGCCTCGACCCATTTGCTGAAGTAATCCATTACTACCACAATGTATTTGTTGCCATCGTTCGTCTCCGGGAAAGGACCAGCCACGTCGATCGCTATTCGTTCGAAGGGACTACCAACATTGTACTGGCGCATAGGGGCTTTACCACGCTTTTGTGGCCCATTAATGGCTGCGCAAATGTCACATTTCTTACACCAGGCCCTCACATCTTCTTTGCAGTTCACCCAGTAGAACCGTTCACGCAGCTTGCCAAGTGTCTTGGTAACACCAAGATGTCCTCCGCTGGTTCCATTGTGAACTTCCTCCAAGACTTCTGGGACCCTCTTCTTTGGAATGACGATCTGCCTTCTCTCTTCTTGTCCCTCCGGTCTCTCGATCACACGGCGAAGTAGTCCGTTATCTATTACCAAGGAATTCCACTGGGCCCAGTACGACTTTACGTTCGGCGAATATCTGCAAACTTCTTCCCACGTTGGTCTTTGGCGTGTGTTTTTCCAGTTAATTACTAAACCTAATTCTGGGTCACTGGTTTGGTCATTTGCAAGATCTTCGGGTTGCCAACTATCATTAACCACAGTTGTTCTTAGGAGTTTCACTTCTTTCTCTTCTGCTCGGGCACAATGCTTACAGTCCTTAGCGCAAGGTCTTCTGGAAAGTGCGTCGGCATTCCGATGGATTGCCCCAGTTCGATGTTCTGTGTCGAAGTCAAATTCTTGTAATCGTTCAATCCATCTAGCTACCTGCCCTTCAGGATTCTTAAACTGCAACAGCCATTTCAAAGCAGCATGGTCTGTTCTTAACAAGAACTTTCTTCCATAGAGATACTTGTAGAAGTGTTCCACTGCTTTAACTACTGCTAGTAATTCTCGTCTGGTTACACAGTAGTTCCTTTCCGGTTTTGAGAAGGTCTTACTAAGATAACCAATGACTTTTTCTTGATCATCCTGGATCTGAGACAGAACAGCGCCTAACGCAACATTGCTAAGTATGGGCGCACTAGTCCGGGCCTTCTTCAATTTTCGGAATGCCTCGTCAGAATCTGAGTCCCAAGAGAAACGCCTCTCGCCTTCGTTAAGTCTGGTCAATGGTTTTGCGATGGTGGCGAAACCCTGTACATAGCGGCGATAGTATGTGCCAAAAGATTCGTAGTTCATGTTTATCTTTAGGTATTGGCCACTCTTCCACTGTCTTGGTCTTCTGTGGATCTACCGCCACTCCTTGGGAGGAGACTACATGTCCCAAGTAGTGTACCTTTTCTTGACACAGATGACATTTCTTGGGGCTAAGTTTCAAACAAGAGCTCCCTAGTCGCTTGAAAACTTCTTCCAAATTCTTCAGATGATCGTCAAAGGATTTCCCAACCACTATGATGTCATCCAGGTACACTAAACAGGTAGTCCAGGATAGTCCCTTTAACACAGACTCTATTAGTCTCTCAAAGGTAGCTGGCGCGTTGCACAATCCAAAAGGCATGACGGTAAATTGCCACAGTCCGGAGCCCACCGAGAACGCTGTCTTCTCTCTGTCTTTCGGCGCCATGTCGACTTGCCAATATCCACTCTTCAGATCTAACGTAGAGAATATCGTTGACCCTGCCAGCGTGTCTAGAGTATCGTCTATCCTCGGCAGGGGATAACTATCCTTCTTGGTAACATTATTGAGCTGCCGATAATCAACACAGAACCTGGTGGTACCGTCTTTCTTCTTTACTAGTACTACCGGCGATGTCCACGGGCTGTTAGATGGTTCGATGACACCCTCTTCTTTCATTTCTCGAAGGATTTTATCAGCTTCTTCACGTTTGGCGAGCGGAAGTCTTCTCGGATTTTGTTTGATTGGTCGTGCATCTCCAGTATCAATTTTGTGTTGTACTAAATTGGTACGACCTCTCTGTCCTGCTTCTCCTTTATCAAACACATCTTGATACTTGATTATCAGGTTTCTCAATTTCTATTTTCGGGAGATAATCCTTTAACGTTTACTAACTCCTTCACCATTTTGTCCGGAATTTTTGAAGTCGAAACTTTGGTGGCTTCCACGCTTCGAATGACTGAGGAGACCGAACAACAGTACCCTAAAAGTACCCATAAGTACCCCTTCTTCAAGGATACAGAATAATAATTCGTGTTCATTACTCTCACCGGTACAGTTTTCTTCGCTCGCAGCAGGGCTATTTCGCTGTCATGGTTCCTTGGCTCCAACAGAATAATACTCCCATTATTCATTTTACCTTCCAGGCAACCATCCAAAAATATCTCACAGCGCTCAGGGATCGAAACATCTTCTGCTACCACCACGCGAAGCGTCTCCTCACATTTTCGATGTAGAACCACTTCTTCTTCATTTATTTTCAAAATTCCCTGTTTGAAGTTTAGTTCAAAACCTTTAGTGGTCATAATGTCCATTCCGAGAATAAGTTCATCTTCGATACCTGCTACTAATACTGGATGTTCAAAACTGGTGCTCCCAATAACAAAATTAAGGTTTACTTCTCCATGGGCAGCAGCGGAGCCCCCCGTAGCAGTACGTAGTCGCCATTGTGTTGTTTTAACCTTCTTCGATGTTTTAAGAATGTCCGGTCTGATGATAGTTCTCGTCGCACCTGTATCCAACAGCATGGTCCGGAACTCTCCATCAACAAAACCATCCACAAAAATGCTGTTGAATTTGTGTTGTAGCGAGGCGACTTGAGCAGTTTTCGTTGGGGCATGTTGGGTACAGGTCGACGTGTGCCCCTTCATTTCGACCCTTCGACAATCGGTCCCTTCTTGCCCATGTACTGGTCCATTATCTTCCGAATAATCCCTTCCACGGATTCGTCAGAACATTCGTCGATGGCCCGTACTCTTCCTAAAGACCGAGAACTTTGTTTCGCGGCCTCAAATTCTAGGGCACGTGCTAAAGCATCCACCAAGTGCGTTGGGTGGGCTAGGAGAAGTGCTTGTCTTGTCTCGTTGTCACGTAAGTCGTCGGAGAATGCCTGTACTGCCAACCGCTCCATAACATTCTCTGGCGTAGCAGGGTACGCAAGGCGAACGAGGCGGGCTACGTCGGCTTCAAACTCCTGCAGAGACTCATTTGACTTTTGAATGCGATTTTTTAGCTGGGAATGACATGTTCCAAATGAGCTTGGCCGTACCTCATTTCTAAATGTCGTACCAATTGCTGATAATCTCCCTGTTCCGATGGTGACAATGTCTGCAGAATATCAGTCGCATCTCCTCGCAGTGCGACAGTCAAAGCGGTAGCCTTTTCAGCGATTGTCCATCCGTTCGCTCTCGCAACGGCCTCAAACTGGCAAAAATAATTGGCCCAAGCGGTCTTTCCGTCAAACTGTGGAGGCTTAATAACTGACTTTGAGATATACTTATTTTCGACTAGTTTCGGTGCCTCCGATGTTTCTTGACATTTTGGTGAATTTGCCTTTGCTATTTCTTGTTTTAAAATTTCGATTTTTTTATTTACATCGTCCTCAATTTGTGTTATTTTGTCTTGTAGCTCCGTAGAATTCTCTATAATCTTTTCTTCTAATTCCCTGGAATTTTCTGTTATCTTTTCTTCTAAATTAAGTATTTTATTATTAAAGCTGGCCTGTATGTCTTTAGAATTTTCTGCGATCTTATCTTCTAAAATATTAATTAAATCCTGGGAATTTTTCATCATTTTATCTTCTAAATTATTAAAATTGCCATTTAAATTGTCTTGCAATTCCCGGGAATTTTCTGTAATTTTGTCATTCAAACTGTCTTCTAATTTTTGAGAGTTTTCCGTCATTTTATCTTCTAATTTTTGTAGGCACGAGTCAAGGTCACCTTCGAATTCAAAGCAAAATGTGTCCGGATCCTCGCCTTCCTCCCTCAAAACGTCTCTCAGTCTGGTTTGCAAAATGCTTTTCTTTCCATCTGTCTCGGACTCTCTCTCTCTTCCAATATAGATTTCAGTTCGGACACTTTCAAGGCTTTCAACAATTTCTTCGGAGCCATTGTTAGTCTTTTTATTTTTCTAATCACACACCCCACACCTGACACCAATTGTTACGTTTTCGTCGGTTCCGTGTGGATAGAAAGTCACAATTTATTTAAACACTATTTATTTAACACTAATTAACAAAAACAATAACGATAAAAGACTTATAGAACTATTTACAAACGATTTATAACTAAGAATTTATTTTGAACTTTAGCGCGTCAACTGTACTGTTTATTTATAACTGCTCCCTGTAGGCCACAGCCGCTGGCTTTTATACCGACAGGTAAAGAACTCTAGAATAGTCCATAGATCGTTAGGTGCGTAGAGAAGGTTTTCGAATGTTCTCGTATGTACTAGTCCATTCCAGTGGGAATCGATTCTTCTCGAACGAATGAATCATTACGGTGTCTATTCTTTAATGCGATGTTAAGGTCATCTGAGGGCGGGACATATAGTTAGGTTAGGTCGAGTTCACACGGGTCCGCAACAATATATATAGTTATAAGCTAATATTATATAATATAAGCTTATAATAATATATTTTATTATATACTATAATTACTATTTTAATATTTTCTTAAATAATAACTATAAAAATCTCAAAATACACAACGTCTTGATAGGAAACGTTGCATAGGATGGCATCGAATTCAAATACAGATACCCTCTGATTTGAACCAATTAATATCGATAATTTAGTTACCAACCGTATGGAAATAAAAAAAACTTATAGTTATAACCAATAATATAGACGAAATGATAGAAAAAAAAACTGTCAGCGGTGGCTATGAAATGACGATCGCTGTCTTTTGTATGTAGTATTATATGGGGAATGTCATCAAGTCATCGATTGTTATTTCCAAGCTAACTGGACGCCGTTTTTTTTGTGCATACTGTAGAGGTGGGAATTCTCCAGAGCAATAGTTCCTTGAACTAGGTCTGTAGTTCAAAATAGTTCCCGACGTTAGCTGTCAATGTTAATTGACATCCCCCTTGCTTGCTAATGCGTTTCGTTGTCAGTCATTACTATTCACAGTATGATCTGTATAATTTTTATAATGTACGGAGATATAACGAGACGTGTAATTGTGTATGCTAAAAACATATACGTAGGTAAGTCTTATTGCAGATAATAAAATAAAAAAGAAACTCAAATCAGAGTTTAAAAAACTATATCACAAATCAATTGAAGCAAATATTACAAAAAATTTAAGAAAAATTGCATTTTTCCTCACTTCAAGCTTTTTGTTTTTGTCTAAAAAATCAGAATAGCTACTTCGCGTTTTATAAGATATTTCTTAACTTGAGGGACCTAAAGTGAAACATTCCCATAAAATATTTAAAAAACAAACTAAAAATCAAAAACAGTATCCACGACAATTTTCTGTGGTAATTACGCCGGCCGTGGTAATAGACAAGGCCGAATCCATCGTCGTCGCCTTGTATTATATCTCGAATCTGCCGACTGAATAGATTCCCGTGAACTAGTCTTTTAATTAGTTCCTCTATGTCCGGATCCGATAACATACGGTATCCCCACGCCTGCCTAGCATCAATCGCGCTGGCTGATCCATACGTAAACTAGTCTTTTATTTAGTTCCTCTAGTTCCGGATCCGATAACATACGGCTGGCACTCCCCACTCCTGCCTAGCATCGATCGCGCTGGCCCGATCCGTACGTACGTAAACTAGTCTTTTATTTAGTTCCTCTAGGTCCGGATCCCATAACGTACAACTGGCACTCCCCACTCCTGCCTACCATCGGGCTACGCGCGCTTGCCGATCCGTCGCCATCCCATATTATTATATATCGGTCACAGTCTCGATCACGGAATAGGTCTTGAGGAACTAGTTATTTGAGAAACCAGGAACTAGTTCCTTTCATTCCGGGGTCGGAATAGTTCATTGGAACTAGTTCGTTCACGAACTACACACCTTTAACATACTGTACCTTTGAACTATATTATACTGTACTTAACTATACACCCATATTTTTTTTAGATTTACGTGTTAAAGAACTAAATGGACTGGCGTTAAAATTGTGGAATTTGTGTATTAAAAGCAACTACCCCGATATTAAATATATGGTAATTATTTATATATCTTTAAACTGATTTTACTAAAAAAATTTGTGTATTGTTTAGGCCACAACAAAGACATATTTAAAAAATAAAAGTCTTACTTGTGATAATGAAGAACTGCAGAGGTTAGCTGAAAAAATGTCATTACTTCAAAAGTAATTTAAGAAAGAAATATTTGTTATTGTTAGCATTGGTATTTTTTATATTTGTATATGGTAAAATAAATAAATAAACGCATAGACATTGATGGAACATTTATTAAAAATCGTATATAACATTGTATTGTATAAAAAAATCGGGTCATGAATAGTATAAAAAAAAGTTTGAGCAAAACAATTTTATACAAACGAACAAAATACTATTATATATATTTGCCCGTACATTTACTACCTTATATAACATTTTTAATTATTATTTTGGCACACAACCACAAAAATACTTTTTTTCAGACATCTTATTAAATATAGAAAATACATCTAGATATATGAATATACGGCGTGTATATATTTCATAAGAAATAATATATTTGTTTATGTACATCGGACGTATTCAGTTACTTGTCACAATTCAATATACAGTGTAAATGAATAGCGCAATAAAATCAGATGATTTTTTTGCACGCATACAATTACACGTTGTATTTAATAAAATTATTTTCTCTTCTCTAGAAAAAATGTGGACATACATAGTATACAGTTGCCATTCGAATCACAAATGTGTTACAAATTGTTGTGTCTCTAAATCAATATCAGTTGCACGAAAAAAAATACACTACAAACTAAAAGCACAAAATAAAAGTTACAAAATCAGTAAAACTTTAAGAAGAAATACTGAGTTAGCCAAAAAATACCTATATTCGATACCAATTAAACTTTTACTTACGTAATCGAGGAAGCGATTTTTAAATTCATCACCGAGCTGACTAAATCCCCGGTCTCAGAACTTCGTACTGTCGCCAGCGACACTGATTGGCACTTTATAGGACTAATGAGAGTTGTACTAAATTTAAAGTTGATAGCTGTTTGAATTTTGTACAAATCTCATGGGTTCATTTGACGTGTCTTTGGGGACAATATGAAGTTCTGAGAACAGAGCTCTGCTGTAAAAAATATCAAGTTGCCACATTGATTTATCTTACTTCCTGAAATTGTCATTCGTTTTGACACTTTAGTTTTGTATTACGAGTTTTTGGCTTAAATGAATTGTGTGGTGATACTTCAAGCTTAAACATTCTTACTAACAGACCTTGCAAGCGAACATTGTTTTTATGTTTAATTTATAATTTTAATTTATTTTTGTTTCCTAAAATATTTTGATTAAAAGAAAATATGTAAAAGTGGGCAACGCTGTGCCGATCAAACTTAATCACGCGACTAAACGTTTATTTGATATGAACTATACAGGGTGATCCGAACTGTATTCCGGAAACTTCGGCGCCATATTCTGTAGATAAAAATAAGTAAAAAAGTTCGTATAAATGTATGTCCTAAAATGCTTAGTTTCGGAGATACAGGGTGTAGAAATTTAATTTTAATTTGGATTTTTTCCAAATAATTTAAGAAGTAACGTCAATATTTGGTTGAAAATTGGTGTCTGGTTTTTGGACATGAGAAATTTGATTTTCATGTCAATATGACTCCTACTTGTAGAGGGCGCTACCTACATATGCTTTAACTGGTTTGAAGAGTAATAACTTTTCATCCATACCTGTATAAAACTACTGAGTAAGAAAATATACATTTACAACTTTTTTTACATAAAAAAGCTCTCTTGGTAACAATCGCTACGAGTAATGGTTCTCGAGATATTTGAAATTGAAATTATCAATACCTGTCATCATTGACAAATTAAACATGTTGACCAAATAGTTATTAGACTGAAATCTTAATTTGAAATCTTTTTGTGCCAAAAGTTCAACAGAAACTGTTTAATCATCATTTTTTCCCAGAAAAATTATGATTAATTTAAAAAAAATAAAAATTTATTTTTTCAGCCAAATAACTCTATTCAAACGTGTGCTTATTTTTTGTCAATAATGACATGTATTGACTATTTGCATTTTAAATATCTTGAGAACGGTTGCTCGTATCGATTTTGACCTAGAGACATTTTTTACGTAAAAAGTTATGGAAATGTATATTTTTTAGTCAGTAATTTTATACAGGTACGGACGAAAAGTTATTACTCCTCAAAACAGTTAATATACATGTAGGTGGCGCCCCCTACAAATAGGAGCCATATTGACATCAAAATCAAATTTCTCGTGTCACAAAACTGCCGGACACCAATTTTCATCCAAATATTGACGTTACTTCAGAAATTATTTGGAAAAAATCGAAATAAAAATGAAATTTCGACACCCTGTATCTCCGAAACTAAGCATTTTATGACATACATTTATACGAACTTTTTTACTTATTTTTATCTGCAGAATATGCTGCCGAACTTTCCGGAACACAATTCGGCCAACCTGTATATATGTATAGATAAATATACGGAAAAAATCAAATGTGTCCCATGGTTACTGAATAAAAAAATAAATACTGAAATTGAATATAATCGAGAAATCTTAGTTGTAACATCATTTTGTGCAAAAAAGCTACCTACCTCTTTGGCCATGCCTTAAAATTACTTATTTTCTACTTGTTTATTACACATAAAAGAATCTAACGTTATTTTTGTTTAATATCGTAAATAATATCAATGGCACTTTTTTAACAGCTCATTTGCTGTACAAAGGAATGAAAGTAGGTTTATGTAAGTTTTCAGAGAAATGAGTAAACCTAGAGTTCTAGTTAGAACGCCTCTATGTTTACTTATTTTTCTAAATTTAACTCGATTATCTCTATCATATGCGTAAAAGAGATTCTAGTTCCTTAAAAGCAGTCTTATACAAGATTAAAAAATATATATATTTTGAATTACTGTAAGTGTGGTGTTACGGCTATGTGCCGCTACGCGGTTTTGCGGTTGCTGTAAAGACGCATGCGTTTTAACCGCCACCGGCATAAACTATATACACTATCCCGTCGTACGGTGTTACGTTATGCGTTTTCGCGGCTGCAGTAAAAACTACCATAAGAATGTACAAACATGGCCAAAATTATTGGATATGTCCTTTAAAAATATACGGAAAGGAATTTAAAGAATCTTTTTTTTATACATAGCTTTGATAATCTGTAATAAACATTTTTTGGTTAAAATGGATATGGTAAACAATGTTTATCGTTCAGACCCAATATTGTTACAAATTCTTGCACATTTCAATTTGTGGTCTCTAGGGTTTCAGAAGAAATTTGACTGTGAAATTATTTCACAGTTTAATAGAGTCAGAATAGTAACACAGTCTCAACAGGGCTACCGGCAAGTTGCAATAGCTGAAATTGTAGGAAGGTAATTATGAATGTGATCGAGCATGCTTGGGACATGCTAAAACGCCATATTGCCAAAAGGAATGATCCCCCCTAAATAAAGTCGTGTGTTGTCACCATCCCTTTTTTTAATGCAGCCGCAAAAACACATAGTGCAACACCGAAATTCTAAGAAATACGAAGTATCGATAGGCACCAAAAACACTGCTTTGGCAAAAAATACAAAAATAGAGTAAAAAATAAATGTACAATAAATTATCTAGAGTTCTTCTGTGGGCGGAGGAGGTGTCTCATCAGTTGTATGATCTAGAAGTACTGCTTTCTCTTCTCTACCGCTAGTGGTACCGTTGTACACCGAATCGTAAACGGGGTTTACGAAATTACCAGACTGAAAATAAAGTTTTGAGTAGTGAAACGGTTAAAAAATGACGTGCGATTGGAAAAACACTCTGTAAAAATTTAGAGGTACGCATTTTGCAGATTAATAACCATACCATCGAAAGAAAAAAAAACGGCGTCAGATTTGCCGACATACATGTTGACAGTGACGTGCATATAGGCAAAAAGGGAGTTGCCGGCCACAGACAAATTTATAACATCTCCATATTATACAGGGTGCTACAAATTCGAGGTACGAGCATTCGTATTTCGGTAACCGTAATGGATACGAACACGGTTAAATTGGGACAAAGTTGCGCTGTGGGCTGTTCACCAAAATGCCACCAAAAAAGTTTTAAAAATTTCAATGATTGCGGAGTTGGAAAAAAACGAAAATCAATTTTATTTTTTCCTGTCTCCTGTCTTTTTATTTTTACTTTTTAGAAAATCAAAAAACTAATTGCTCATTCTCACAGCCACTTTATGTGGGCTATCTGATATCTTATTTAAAATAATTTCAAGTCCGGAATTTCCAGGGTTTTGCCCCCAATTTAGAGTAAAAAATTATCATGACTATTTCATCAATCAATATCTATTATTATGCCACTGTATGTAGAATATATGTGTGGTCAAAACCTTAATTGTTAAATTAGAATTTTATATCATTAATATTCTTCTACATTTTACGTTCAAATTGGATATTTGTTTTGTCAATTTAGATACCAACTGACACATTACACAAATATCCTTCAGACTGTGCCAATTATTAAAAATGTATTTTAATTAGTTTTAATTCGAAAATTTAAAATTATTGTGACATATTATTGTAAAGAAAATTAGAAAGTTGATTTTAAATATACCATAAAATATACAGGGTGTCCATGTAACTTAACTTACCTTATCCGCATCTAGCGTAAAGGGTTCAGCATCTCTATCTTGATAAATGGGATTGCTAAAATCATTTTCTTGCAACCTCTCGTGTGAAAACACTGTTCTTCCTCTGAATACATATTGAAATCCTATAGCTCCTAATGCAAGAACTATCAGGATTACAGCCAGAGCGTACCCTATCGGCACCCATATGGTTCTGCCTTCGCTTCCTTTAGATGCGTTTTCGTATTTCTCGATGATTTCCGGATTTTTCAGTACAGTACAGTATTCACCTTCGTAGTCAGTATGGCAGAGGCAGAATGATTTACCGTTAGCCACAGTACAAGTTCCACCGTTTTTACAGGAGAAGGTACATTTTTGTCGCGTACAGGTAGGTCCAAACCACTGGCTGGTACAACTGAAATGAAAGCATTGTTACGACAGTCAAGAGATAGCGCTCTGTGACATCGTAAATTCTCCATAAAATAGAAAGTAACTTCCAGAACAAACCATAAGTGACATCTGCGGATATACAGGGTGAGTCTTAAATAAGTGCATATATTTTCAGGGCCGGTAGATCTCGATAAATGAAACATATTTTCTCTTTACCGATTTTCAAATAAGTCCAAAATAACCTATATATAGCTTTGAAAATTTCCAAAAAATTATTTTTTGCTAAAATTTTGAAAACCGCTGGATCTTTTCTGGGTTTGCTTTCTTGTAAATTAATCTACTACCTATGTTGCCATATTATGAATATATTATGTTTAACTAAAAATTAAAAAAAAATCAAAATTCTTTTTAAAAAATTCCAAATTTTCAATTTTTTTTGCGAAAAAAATCTCGGGTGTATTTCTGGGGACAAAATATACTATCCTAAAAAATATTTGCATTTACATAAGATTCACCCTGTATAAGAAGCGGTTAAGGCGGGACGTGTTCGTGTTTGATTAAATGAAGTCGCGAGAAATTGATCGGAAAAAGAAGCGATGAAAATTAATAGTCGTTATTGTAAGTTTTTTTAGTTGTTTACTAAATGACTTAAAGTGTGTTATTGTGAATCTATAACAATATATTTTTTAAAGCAGATTAATTTTTTTAAGACACTTACCGACATCTAGGAGTGTTGTTGGGCCAACTAATCTCGCAAACTCCATGGTTTTTGCAGTATCCGTTACAAGGATTAGAATTGCCCATATACTGGGTACAATCATCCCCACCCCAGCGTTCAGTACAGTTGCATACTTGCTTCCCATCCAAACTAACGCACTGCCCTCCATTTTTGCATCCTGTATGACCACAACAATTTTCAGGAGGATTAAGGCCAGAACATTGACTTATTTCACAGCGACTACCTATAGTTATTGAGAATTTTAAGGTTAGAAATATAGACAAAAGAATCTAAGACACAAATCTTAAATTTTACCTGAGAAATTTGGAGGACAAACGCATTCCAATGTAGATGGCTTGCATGTGCCTCCATTGAGACATAGGCTTTCGCATCTGTTGGTATCACATAATTCGCCAGTGTAGCCAGCATGACAATCACATTTGATGCCGCGTGATAAGGCTCTTACTTGACCGTGAGCTCCACAGACTGATATTTCACAATGAGTACCGTTATAACCTAAATAGAATAAAAATATTTCAGTAAGTTATAACGAAATGTATCTAAGTATCTCGTTAGTGTACTAAACGATATTTTCTAAGGGAAGTTAGTCGTTATTGTGAGATTTTTGGGGAGTGTTATTAAGTAGCTTTTTAGTGGTTAATAATTAGTTAAGTGTGTTTAATACCATATGATAAAAAAGAAATAGCGTCAGAACAGGCTTGTAAATGAATACCGCTGTCATTTTGTATGTAAAATTATATAGGAAATGTCATCGATATAGTCATTTACAAACCTTTTGTACGCATTTTTTTATCATACGGTATAATGGTTCACGGGATCCGTTACAATATTATAGAAAATTAATAATTGTGGATTTACTGTAGTGGTGGCCCACGGACATTTTTAGATGAGATACTTTAAATGCATATAGAAAGATTGTAGAACATACCTTGAGAACACTTGCACGATCTAGCCCCGTTGATGACCGAACAACTGCCTCCGTTACCACAATCGAAATTAGTACAATGCTGACATCTGAACCCCATAAACCCATGAGTGCAGGTACAATGAGGTAGACCCATGAATACTGCACAACTTCCTCCATTTCTACAGAAGTCCGTGCACAAAGGCAGCCGTTTCTCGCATCGTTTACCATACCATTGCGGAGGACAGTAACATTTTAAAGGTACTTTACCTTGGTCATCGGTAGACAAAGCAGTTCCGTTCCTGGAGTCGCCTAGAACGCACATACCTCTATTTTTGCAATACTGAGAACATCTGTAATGCTGACATCTGTCGCCAGTGTACAGAGGGGGACAGACGCAATATGGAGCCTTTCCTGGTTCAATCTGTAATATTTCGGTTTTTAACGCTAGGAAACACGTTATAGATAAGGTTTTATCGGCATTTACCTTACAGTTTCCTACATTGCAGCTGAAAGGACACTGAGCTGTGGCGACAGCTTTACATGTGAGGTTATCACTGACGTAGCCGTCTGCGCAGAGGCATCGCGCACCATTAGGTGTCAGTAGACAGAACTCGTTGTTATTGCAGAAGTCGCTACAGGAGTTGTTAATGCTGGGACGTCTGTGTTCCTGCGATATTAGGATGTCGGAAATCCTGAAAATATAATACAGATTTTTCATTATTCATTAATATTAACAAATTTGAATATTCAGAAGAAACAATTTCAGTTAGACGTCTTCTCTGGATGGGGGATTCCTTTGTCTATTTTTTATATAGTAAAGTATTTTAAGTTAATGTCTCCGTTTTGCTAGCAGGGCCAATCTACCGCCCTCGGCCATATAATACCTTAGCGAGTGTCTAAATCTACTTCTACTTCATCTCGTCTGTCCTCTAACAGGTGTGAATAGAACTCCTGCCACATAACAACACTACGACAGAGTTTCCAGAGTGTTGGAAAGATTGCTGTCTTTTTAAAAGTTTATAAAACCAAGGTTTAGGCCATTATATGGCGTGGAGCGCTGTTCGGATTCCTTGTAAACCAAGTAGACCCAGTCCAGATTAACCCTCGCAGCAAAAAAGAGACGTTATCTTAACATTAAACGTATGAATTGATACTAACCTACCCAACCTGTGAGCTAAGAAAACGAATTCATCCGTGCCGAATTTATCCATCTTCAAAACATCGTGATTCTGGTATGTGGAAACGTACAATTTGTCTTCAAACACCTCGAGTTTATGAGGCCTGAAACTTTTGGAGAAACGCTTAATCAAATGCCTGTTTGTCCCGTCGTATGACACGCTTTCTACACTCAACAACTTGGGATCGCACCAGTACAAACGTTTCGTGTGATAATCGATCGTCAGACCTGTTGGCCACAGTAAATTATCCATCAAAATTCTTCTGTTGTATCCATCCATATCTGCTCGCTCTATTTTGGGTTCCTGTCCAAGGTCAGCCCAGAACATTAGACCATCAGCTGGAGATACGACAATGTCTCTTGGTTGTTGCAGATTGCCTCTGATCAAGGTATAATTATATTTTCCTTCTAAATCTGTGGCTATTATACGTGAACCGTCCGTTATATATAGACGTTCGGCCACCCAATCCAAAGCTATGCCCCGAGGATCGATAAGGTTGATTAAAACAGTCCTGGCAACGTCAGAGTCTCTGTTACTTCTTCTGTCCTCGGTTACCTTGATTATACGAGCCTGGACCCGCTTGTTGTGGTAGTCTGTCCAGAAAGCTTCAGCTTCACGGCTGCCGTACAGAATATCTACGCCATCGATCTGAAAATGGTAATGCTTAAGAACAGTAAAGGGACTATTCAAATACAAATAATCGAAGTATTCAATTCTTTTGAGCATTCGATTCTTAACGAAGTATTCGAATACTAAAAATAAAATCGAATTTGAAACAGCGATTTCGAATTTTGTCGTCAAGCGAGAGACAAGAAACATATTCCCACTATGTTTAAGACAGGGACGGATCATAAAACATAAACATTACGGCGTTCTTCAGAAGGCTAGTTTAAAAATAGGTCATGAACTGATACATCATTTTAAAAACCGAAACGCAGAACATTAAAAAAATAAACGACGCACACTGGCCGAATTTGATCAAATCATGGCATAAATAGAAATACTTACTTTTAATACTTGGTTACAAAAATGTCAGTGCTGATACTCTACTATTCCAGCAGACTAGTTACACATGATTTTGACACGATAAATGATTGATTTATTGTTTCAATTTAGGGTAAAAGTTGATTAAAACCGTTGGCAAGTTTTAAGCGTGCAGTTAAATAGATATACATATTATGATATGTTCAAATGTATTAAAAAGCTTTATTTAAAAAAAATAAAACTGCAGTTATGGAATGGGGCTACTGAGATATGGACTTATTTAATACCAAAAAATGATAGTATAAGTCTGTATTTTAAAAATCATATGAGATAATTAGCTAGGTAATATTATGTTCTTAAGTGAATTATTAAAAAATCAAAATACAAAAAGCATTTTGTTTGTATTCTCAAGTTACATGTGGCCATTTCCGCCACACCTGCAACCGCACAGAAGATCTTCCCGTGAGACCTGCTGATCATGCTTTTATTGATAAGTTTTCCTTTTAAGTTAATGTTCATTATAAATTCATTCTTTTGTCTGATTTCGTACGTACAACATTCACGCTGTATACTTTTAAATAAATAATTGTTTTTTAAAAAGACTTTCCTTCCGTCGAACAACATAATTGGCGCAGTCGGTAGGATACGTGCGACGGCATTTCTGTGTTTTTCGAGCATCTTTTCGGGTCAGTTGTGTCGTTTCGTGGTTTCAACCTACTAATAATTCTTTACCATATATTGAAACAATAAACCCTTCTTTAAAATTACTAATCGATACAGGCAGCATTAAATCAATTATTAAACCTTCAATAATAGAACAATATTTTCCAAACTTTATCTATCAAAGATCTAACATAATTAAAATTGCCATAGGTAGTAAACTAACTAAATATCAAGCTACAGTACCTATTCTTTTAGATTTTGGCATTAAAAATAACATAGATTTTATTCTCTTCGACTTTCATGACTTTTTCGATGGAGTCATAGGTCTTACTGATCTTATTCAGATGAATTTTAATAATAATTTAGTACAACAAAAGTTGACAGGAAATAACATCGAAATTCCTTTTAAATATCGATAACCTAAAGACATAAATTTCTCTGATTATGTTAACCCCAATGAAAAAATAACTAAAAATATGCCTGTTAATGTTTATGAAGATGACATTGTATCTAAACCAGGAATGATTAACGATTTAGATACCCTAGAAACCGCATTCTTAGTTAACAACACAGGAGATACTAACGATATGATAGAAGAGTTTCGTGAAACTATAGACGAACTCCCGTCGCTGGACAATGCGACAGTACCCGAAGTCTTAGGGCTAGACGTCCTGAAAGTTAAAAAAGAACCCCCTGATAGAATAAGACCCCCGATAATATGGGAACCCCTATCGTAATCTCTGACGACTCTACTGATTTTGAAATAGTTCACACGTCACTAGAAGACCCTATATTTAAGTTACCTATTATTGAAAAAGCTTTAAATACTTATAAAAATAAAATTATTCTAACGGTAGATCAAGAATCAATAAATTGTAGATATGACAAAATTCACGAAATCAATAAAAATAAAAAGGAATCAATAATAAATAAACTTAATGATGATCGACAAGACCCACCAAAATTCCTTAACACAGAAACCGCTTACATAAAGACAAAAAATCGTTCTAAAGACTTGCCGAAATTTCAGAAAACTACCATTATAAAAGAGTCAGATATTAAACTAGAAACAAATAAGGGTGGTACATATCACAAGAGTTGCACTAGGAAACTAAAAACTAAACCTAATCTCTCATTTCAGGGAAAGGATGAAGATAACACTAGTGTTGACAACCCCGCTTCTCATGAAATGTAGTGCCGATGATATCCAAATAACCCCTTTAAATAATTTTATTTTACCCTTAAACTTAGGCAATTCCAAACTAGTGTATACTAAGCATACTTTTATACATTATTTAGATTTAAGCACTATAATAATTAATCAATTTAGAAATATAGAAGATCAATTTTTAATACTAAAAACAATTATACGCGATAAAAATAGTACGAATCCGATATCCTATCAAGCACTTTCACAAAATATACTTTCTAGAACAGAAATTTTAACAGACACCACCTTAAATAAAATTAAAAATTTATATCCTCATATACGTAATAAACGAGGACTAGTAAATGTTGTAGGAAAAGTCAATAAATGGCTATTCGGAACATTAGACGCAGACGATGGAAATAGATACGATTCAATAATTAATCAATTAAATAACGATCAAAAGAAACTAATCAATGAAGTCAATTTACAAATATCTCTTTCAAAAGGGTTGATTGATAACTATAACAAAACAATAACTACTCTAAGCAAAAACCAAGAAAATCTTCAAAACGGATTAAAACTCTTCCAGCACTCTGTAAATAAAGAAATCGGTAATCTTCAAGAATACATTAGTGTACAAGGAATACTTTCTCAAATTAATTTAGACTGTCAGAACATCATTACATTTCTAGATAATATAGAAGATGCGATTATGTTTGCTAAATTAAATACACTACATAATTCTATACTTCCTAGCTCAGAGCTCCAAAAAATGATAAACTATTTAGGTACTCTATACGATAAAAATCAAATACCTATATTTAAAAACATTTTATCTTACTATCAGTTCTTAGGAACACAAATAACTTTTTCGAATACGAAACTAATTTTCGCTATCCATATTCCTATCCAAATACCCTTATATGGCACGAGCAGACTCCAAAATACAGTTTCAAGAAACCATCTGCCCATTTTTAGAAGAAACTTTCTATTGCCACGTAGAATTTCACCCTGATGACCAGTGCACGCTACAGCTGATCGAAAACCAATCTACTGATGACTGTAAAATAATCGACATCCACGTTCAAGAGCCTATCATCGAACAAATAACGCCAAGAGAAATACTTTTACTATCTTCAAGACCACAAAGAATATTTTCAAAATGTAAAACTGATCGATATTTGGAAATTCAAGAGCCCAGCCTAATCAAAATTTCTAAGGGCTGTGAGGTTCACATAAATGATCAAATATATTCCAATGATGTCTCAATACAAGACAGCAAGCCTTTAATACTACCACCAATCAGTTTTGATCAAGTAAAAAGAAGTAAATCCTTCGAGGCCTTCAACATCACGAAATTAAATTTTGACAAAATGTTCGAGCTAAGACAAATGGTTAACCAACTGCATCCCTTAACACCATCAACGAGAAGTTTCATGGACAATTCCACTGACATCATATTCATGGTTTTGTTGATCCTCATCACTCTGAGCCTTCATCACAAGAATGAAGTTACTCAACCCTATGCTGAGCTACATAAGGAAGAAGATATGCCCCTCCAAAAGAGATGCCCGAAGACCCACCACGAAAAGAAAACTCCGTTATCTAAAGTGGATTTACATAAACAAATTAGCATTTAACAGCCGTTATCATAAGGACCTCCTTTTGAAATGAGACACAGTTACGTGTTTCTTAAGATTTAGAATAAAACTTACATTTCCATTAGAATATCTTTAGCCAAAATAGAGAAAAATAGGAGACGTTTTTTATATATATATATATATATATATATATATATATATATATATATATATATATATATATATATATATATATATATATATGTCGGATAATTTATAATTTAATGATTAAATGTTAGACGTGGCAACATCTTTTATATTATCAGTATTTACTAAATTAAGTTTCTTGTGTGTATTTTCGAAACAAAGGTGACGCAATCGAAATGTAGATTGCAAATGTGGTCCCGAGTCGGCTTCTAGTAGTCTTTATGATCTATGATTGAGCAGCGAAGAGAGAGGGAAAGCCCAGTCACGGTGATGAGGGGTCGGCGTGGTGTGCCGGTCGGTGCGCGGTGTCTTGCACGTGGTCTCGGAAAGAAAAAGAAAGAGCCGGCTTGGGAATGCACTGTCGCCATCTTGTTGTCGGTTCGAAGGGATTTAGTTGAAAATCCGGATAATTATTAATTTTAAAACCCGTTCTACGACATCAGAAGTGGGATAAAGAATGTACACCCACAATAAGCTTTTGAGTGGCATGGTGAAACTTGGAGGATGCATTTGAATAAGATAAGTACACAGTTTCTAATTAGGTTTACAAATCGAAAGTATTGATTGCTTTTTTGTGGCTTTGGAAGAGTACGAAAAGTTAATAGTTTAGTAATAATAAAGTAAATTATCAAAGAAAATGAGTCATGGCGTCCTGCCGCAACAGTCAGGAGCAAATGCTGCATTTAGACGGAGCATTGCTGCGTTTAGATTGAGCATTGCTGTGTTTAGATTGAGCATTGCTGTGTTTAGATTGAGCATTGCAGCATTTATATTAAGCATTTGGAACATTTAGTAGTTTAGAGCCCATACAGATACTGTATAATGTTACGGAGGGAAATATTACAATGATTATTATTAAAACAACTATTTGCGGCATTATTTCATACCGATTTAAGTTTGATTACTTTTTTATGGTCTGAAATTGTCTGAATAAGTTTTGATGATCTGTTTATTACTGGTAAATACATGGTACTATGGAGCAGAATGGTGGTTTAGAATATTATCCACACCGTTTAAATTTTAATTCTGAATAAGTTTTCTGATTGCATAACAAATAGCAATACAGCAAAGTTTTTGTCGAAGAAAATATTGATCGGTATGATTTGTTTATTTATTCAGGCGAAGTGATAAACACTGTCGCTTGTGATAAGGCTGCTGTTGTTTTTCTAGTTGTTTCTTGC